TGCACAAAGAGATGTTACATATCTTTTCCTAGTGTTTCTGAGCCACCAGTCATGTACAAAGTATCACAACTCTTAGTTTCTCTTCTAGCTTTAGTTTTGAAAAGGATTGCCCAATAGAAATTTGAATTTTCAGTTAAATAACCCTATTTTCTAGAATAGTAAGATTTTACGATTTGTATGTGATCTACAAAGAGATGCAGGGCCAGTTATGTTAATTTTGATAACACAAGTTCTTGACTTTTTTTTTTTCTTGAAAGGTTGTTTTTCTTGCACTGAAACTTGAATTCTATTCCTAGGATACTATTTCTACCTTCACAGGCTTTTGTGCAGTTTCAGAGTTTGTTGGGATATTTTTTTTCTTAATTGCTGAAGATTTCTTTGTGTTCACAGGTCCAGAATATGAGCATTTCAATTTTATTTAAAAAGCTTTTATCGGGGCAAAGGGTCACTTTAGCTTGTCCTTCAGTCTCTAGAGATACCCTGAAAACTAGTAACTATGGTGGTTCATTTTCACCGAGTCACTGTGCATTTGTGCCCTTGAATTTGTGAAGAGAACACTGTTTTGAAACAAGTTATATACCATAATAACAAGAAAAATTAATTCTTTTCTGAGATTGGCCTGCTTGTGATGGGTGTTTAATTCCCCTGTCTTGATTCCCCTCCTGCCCCCACTTCAGGGGTTCTTTACATAGCATTTCTCTTACTCATCCCTTCATCATGATTCCTATAGAGGGAGAGTCATGTCATCCTTATTATTTCTTATTTCATGAACCGGTGAGCATGTTTCAAATCTTGCTTAAATTTTCCTCTGATTTAATATATCCTGTGCAAGATGGCTCTCATGCTCATTTGTTCCTTAGGTTTCAAAAAGGCAGCTGTAGTTATCTTCATTCTCAAGGAAAAAATCGCACTGTAAGCACAAGTCTTTAGCAGTGGGGATTCTCTTTAGTCCAGAAACCTTGATTCATCATTCAGTTCCTGGAACCACAAAGGGAGAAATTAGCTCCCAGGCTTTCATATCAGCATTAAGAAAATAATCCACAACTCTCAAGACTTGAGCCAAAGGCATCTAGTAATCACTAAAGTACCATGTTCCTAACTTGTGTGTTTAGAATTTAAGTGGACTGGCGGAGTCAAAAATGACATCTGCCAAGGAAACGGTAGATCATTATCAGATGTTGTGAGCAGGTATTACAGACTAGCTTCTCTAGTTTTGCAGGCTCTAGGAAGTCAACTTTTGAGCAGTTGATATGTCATGTTTTTAATACACTAATGTAGTTTTGTTTTTCTGATTTCTAGTTTTAATCAAACTAGGACATACCTATGATTTTGATTGGCTCCGCTGGTTGTGGTGTTCTGATCTAATGGCTTTTAGACTAGAGATCTTTCCTCCTCACCTGTGTACTAAAGAAATATTAAATGTGTTTCAAGGTTTTAGAAAAGCTTACCCTCATGAAGGCAGTACTTTAGTTTATCAGACATTAGATATTTTAGTTTAAGCAAGAGGTCGTTTATATCAGGGTCAGCATAACTACCTATCAAATCCTATCTTCTCAAGAACTTGATGTTTGGAATAAGTCTTTGTTAGACTGATGTGATTACTTATAGTGCACATTTCATACAGTCTTGAAGGTTCTTTGGTTTGGTTTTTTTTTTCAGAGTAAGAGCTTCTTTTCATATGAGATTTTATTTTTGATAGACTTAGAATCATAGAACAGCCCCGATTGGGGGACTTCAAAAGACTATCTAGTTCAGCCTTTCATGGGTGGGGAAGCCTAGAGGAGCTTGCCTAGTACCTTGTCCAGTTTCAGCTCAAAAACCTCCACTGATGAGGACTCTACTGTGTCCCTGGGGAGGTTGTTCTATTGATTGATAGTTCTCACTGTAAAAAATTTCTTTCTTATATCAAGATGAAACCTCTCCTGGTGCAACCTGTATATACTGCCTCTTAACTTCTCTGTGTGGCCTCTTCTGAAGAGAGACCCTCTCCTTTTTGTAGCCACCCTTTAAGTCTTTGTCATCCTTTATTAAGAAGGAGAAAGGGTAATCAATAGTTAAAATTCTGGTGTCTCTTATGAACTCATACACCCATACCTATAGTATCTAAAAACACTAGATGACATTTTAATGTTTTTCTTGAACTTACACTTTTCTCCAAGAACTTCTTAGCCAGAAGTGATAGATTTGAACTACAGTTGACTTCAGCTAATGGAAAAATACAAATTTTCTAAATGAAAGAAACCATCTAGCCATTTCCAGTATGTACTGGCCTTTAAAGGAAAAAAGTCAATTTTGTATTTCATGTGGTCATCTGGCTAATCTCCTCTCATTTTTCTCACTGCTTTGTAAGAGTTCTGTGGTATCTATTAGGTATAATTCAAACCACTGAAAATTGACCTCAGAAAGCACGATGTCTTGGAAATTGGTCTCTGGGTAAGAAACGCAGGTACCTGGAGAGAAAATTGAACATACTGAGGAGGGGTTGCTTTGTTTCAATTATTGGTGTAGAGTTCATCTCCTTGACATGTGATTAATCTTCATAATTATATACATGTGTAGGTTATGTATCAAATTAAAGCAACTATAAGAAGAATAGAACCAGGTGTATCATGATCTTCCTGTGTTTGCAGAAGTCCTGAAACACAAACCTGAAGCTTGTCTTTTCAAGGTGGTTATACCCACTTTGACTATAATTCTGTGGTTGCCTAATTTGTCATATTTGCAGCATTCCATGGAAACGATCATATTTATGAAAACTTTCCTGCAGCTGTGCCTTGTTCTGCAACCAGACTTGCCTGCAGTCCAGGGTGGTTTATCTGGATTTCAGAGTATACCTACTTGGTAGCTGTAGAACAAAAGGGGTTTAAGAGACCAAAAACTAGAATTCAACTTTCAGCCAGGTTCAGAGGAAACAAAATCGTAATGTGACAAACGAAGCAGTCTCCAGAACAGTGCAGCAGAAGGCCTGCATAGGAAAATGGACCAAAATGCATTGTTATCTCAATCCACAGCTGTATGTGCTTTCTGGTAGGCCAGAGAGCTGTGCTCCGTTACTGGACGACACTATGGATAGCCCAGAGAGTAGGTATCTTCTCAAAAGTGGACAAGGATGAAAAAAACCCAGTTGACTTCCTTCTGTGTATTAATGTAAAAATTAAATACTTAATAAAATAAAGGTGACTGGCTTAAATTTTCCTCCTTTTAGTTTCAAAATCCTATCCTCACACTCTTAAGAGCTGATAACACAAAGCTGATAGCCCTAAAAGACTGTCACGGTCCACTTGGTGGACTCATGGTGGACTCATGGTTCATTTACTATGATCTCAAAAGTACAAAACTAAGGTGACCAACAACAAAGGGAATTGTATCAATCAAACAGTGAAACTTTATTGTGTTTCCTTTGAAACGGCACACGATAGAGATGGGTGAAAGAAAGAAGAAAAGTAAAGTTTAGTTTAGAGAGGAGGAAGAGAGGTTATAGCTACCACCACTGATCTCAAGAAGTCCTGGGTCCAGCTGATGCTGTGTTGTCAATCATCGTGATCCTTGTGGGGAAGCTTCAAATTTTCGTGGCCTGGAAGTTGTCTTTTATGCATAGTGACACAACTGGCTCCACCTCTGCCTCAGGGATCTCCACCCTTCTTCAAGCGAGGCTATCATGCATGCGCAGGGGGGAGTGTCTGAGGTGTGGCCAGTCTCGGAAGCAGGTAGCCTTCAACCAGGAGGTGTCTTTTGGTATTATAATGAAACAAAGTTCGTCTAAAGTTCATGATTTCTTCATCTATGTTATGGCAACAGTTGCAATCCATCCTTTTTGACAGTAGCTATGCAGTTATCTCTAAGGACTCTGGCCAGGTCCAGGTCCCAAAGTACATCAGAACACTCTCTGTACCACACAGTTCATATTCCACTCTCAGGATTGGCAGCTGTGTTTCAAACAGGCCATTGTTGGGTACCCTACTGTCCATGTCCCCAATGACAATGTTGAGACAATGCTGATCTTCTGACCGACTCTTACAGTGTTTTTATCAGTGTTTTTATTTAGGTGTTTTCATTTAGGGAACTGGTTAGAGTAGAAAGTGAGAGATGTAATAGCAGGCAGTGACCTCATGATCTTACTACATCATTAATCAATATTTTAAAATCAGCGTTACAACAGCTATAGTTAATGTGAATCACTTGGGTGTAGTGAGCAATTGGCCACAGTCCAAAACACTTATTTTTCTCTCTACCAGTTCTGTTCTAACCAACTAATAGCTCATCTGGGGACACTGCTGTGTACAGCTCATGGTCCGGGGATAAGTGTCTTGCACTTATTGCACAATTTGACTGGTTGGGTCTATTTGTTTATTATTTATTAAGCAGCATGAACAAACAAACAACCCAAAGAAACAAATCACAACCCTAGCTATAGATCATACTAGATCATTTAAACAACTGGCTTTTCATTGACCATGAGATGATGGCCTTTGGGTTTTTTTGCTTTTATGTGATGTATTGTGTTGGAGCTACAAGTGTTTGGATTTTTTATGATTATCTGTAAATCCACTGGTGAGATTAATCTTGTCTCTAGTACCAGGAGGTGTTTGCCTGTATCCCACCATGCAGATAGGATCAAATAGGAAATAAAAGATTGTTCCTGACTTGGGTAATATTTTGCAGGAAAGGTAGCAATTGTATTTAAGAATCTCTTATTGCTCCTTTTTTGTAGGACATGTGTGATGAACAGGAAGAATTTAATAAATTGTAATGGAAACTGAACATTGTAATGAGTTTTTTGTTTTCTGGGTGAATAGAACAAAATGCACACGTGTGGTTTTGATACATAGCAGCAGCTAGAGTATGCATTACTACAAAACTGAGGAACTGGGGATTTATGCAGTTTTTCATTTCTAGGTTAACCATGTAACTCATATACTTTAGTGAAGTTCATTGAAAAACGTAACCTTTGTGATCACCTGTAGATGGCCTGTAATGCATCATTGAAATGCCACTGATGATAGTACTAAACATCTAATTGATCAAGCATTGTTCTTCCCATGCAGAAGCTTCAGTATGAGGCGGGGTGGATGGCGGAAACGGGCTGGCGATGGCGATGGCTGGGGAATATGGGTATGTTCAAAACCAAGTGGTTTGGTTTTATTTTTAAGAGGTAAATGGCACTGTTGGTTAAAAAGGGTTTACAATTTTATTATATATGTTAAAGGTATGGTATACTATAAATTAAACCCTTTCGCTTTGCTTGAAAACACATAATTAAGTTCCAAAGAAATTTTTTTAAATTACCAGGTTCTGAAGTCTTTGTTTACAATAATCCATTAAATTGCATTATTAATAAGTACAGACCCTTGAATAGCTTTAAATCACCATTTTAAAATTAAACTAAAGAATTTTAAAACTGTTTATGGTTGTCTCCAACATATACTGTGTAGCTGGACAAACAATAACTGAGGCACCTAATTTACATAAATATTTTTGATACTGCTGTCTCATGTATATTTAAGAACTGAAAATACATGGAGCTTAATGAATATTTCCTACATTGTTTCTTTAGGCAATGAACCTCCAATTTAGCATCCAAATTTCCATCAGTCCCTTACTTCTTTTTTCTTCTTTTTGTTCTATAAAATATTTTATAAAGATAGAATCTTTTTCTTACAGAATAAGAGAAAAGAAGTATGAAATAAATCCTGCCATGTTGGTAACAAGATGCTCTTATCTTGTAGATAAGAATTTAGGGTGAAGTATTTGCTATTTTTCATTTGGAAAAAGAATATGTCTTTTGTATGTCAACCAAAATAAATTTGAAGGAATGCTGCTTGCCTTTCCAGTCTTGTAATTGATCAGTTCCTGTCTGTAAAGGTTAGAAAATAAGACTAGCATCATGGGGTTTGTTTTGTTTTGTTTTAACTTAAAAACTAGGGCGGATACATGTCGGCAAAGGTTAAGAAATTGGAGGATCAGTTCCGGTCAGATTCAGCCATACAGCACCAGAGGGATGGAAGCTCATCAAGTATCTTTAGTGGAGTTGCCATCTATGTCAATGGCTTTACAGGTGAAGCTTTTATGTTTTTAAGGATCTGTTCTGTTTTGTTCTAGTGTCTGTTTACCATCCTGAGTGGAGTAAAGAACGGTAAAACACATGAGTTTGCAGCTAAGTAAATACATAACAATTACTGTATATCTTTTGTATATTATGTTCCTTTGTGCTTCATGATTAAGGTTTTCAATATAATAATTGAGTTCTGCATATAAATATTACTTTATTAAATCATTTACATGAATAGTCACTGACAGAAATAGGAGTAAATTCTTTTACCTTTCTGCGATCTTATTATTTGAGCTGAAACCTTTTAACTTCCTCCATACTTCTACATATTTAAATTTTTAGTTTTCCAAACTATTGATGGTTGGAGTGTATGCATTAAATTTATGTTTGGGTGGATATGTTGGGTTTTTCTTGCTCAGAGTGGTGTAATGCTTGAGACAGCAAACCCGTTAATAATAGAAGGAAGAACAAGAGGAGAGGTGAGACATATGTATTCATTGTCTGTGATGGACTGATGGTGCATGTTAACCGGAGTAAGATTTTTAATCTACCGTACTTACGTTCATATTTCTCCTGGGTTCTGTAAAGCACCTTAATAACCTTTTTGAAACTTCCCAGAAGTCTTTTTCAGGGACCTATGCCAGGAATGCTGTGCCTGTTACATACCTGATGCATACAGCTTCTATGATACAGAGCAGTGCTGGTTTGAGCACAGGGCTCAAACTGTCTGAAAAAGGTTAAGGTGGACAAGTTAAACTATTAGTACCTCTGAATCAGTTATTTAATACAGGCAGTTCCCTTCGTGAAAATCTAACATTTGCATATTCTTCAAGGTACTGCTTCCTAAATAGAGCTCTGCAAGGTGGTTGTTGAACAGGCTGGAGTAGGAAGTATAACACTTGGAGAAAATGTGTGCTATTTTTAGTTAAAAGTTAGAGGTATAATCAAGTGTTAGAAATCTTCTGAGGGTTGCCAGTAGGCCGCTGGAAGGAACTGTAACTATTCTTTAAAAAATTTTCTTCCTTCCTGTATTGATAAATATGGGGCTTTTAGTATCTTGTGCCAGATTTTTTTATTCAAAACATTCTGCTTGTGCTGACCCAAACCTTTTGGTGCCAGCGTGACACCAGTGCAGAGGTTTTCTAAAAGCTAAAACTTTGTCTTTTTTTTTCCCCACCTTTGCTTGCAAAATAAATAATCTTTTTAGCATGATTGAGGGAAAAAGAAGAGATGTTAGTTTTTAAGGTATTCTCTATTCTCTGTAACAATGCAAGAATAACCTGGTAAGAAAGGAATGAGTTAACTGCTTCAGTAAATCAGAAATTGTATAGAAGGAGTTCTGTGCTGTTGCTTAACCCTTTTGATATTCTTTTCTATTACTTCTGGGTATAAAATACTTTCCCAAACTCTGGTGAAAAGATAAGTGAGTTAATCTAATATTATGTTATATTGATGTAAAGTGTTTTTTAATAGATCTACTTGAATATTTTTACACATCCCCTCCACTATGTAATGGAATGATCCTCTGTAACAAGTAGAATGTTTACATTTTGAATCAATCTCTTCAGAAACACAGTTTTCTACACTTACTAGAAATGCTTTTCTGATTTGTTCTTTGAAGAACTTGTAAGGTTTTTCAGGAGAAAAGCAATGGTTGGCACTCTTTCTGATCATAGCATCATATTTCTCAAAGTTGTTTTTCTTACTCTATTTGCTGACACAAAACAGGAATATTTCTGATTTTAATTTTATAGATCCCTCAGCTGATGAATTAAGACGGCTAATGATGTTGCATGGAGGCCAATACCATGTGTATTACTCCAGATCAAAAACAACTCACATCATTGCCACAAATCTTCCAAATGCCAAAATAAAAGAGTTGAAAGGAGAAAAAGTAGTTCGGCCAGAGTGGATCATGGAAAGGTAAGTGTAGGTCTACTGCTTTTGAAGGTTTCTCCTTTTGGAAAAAAAAAAAAAGACGAAAAACTTCGAAAAACAGCATTATCGAAGATTGCATTTTGAGATTATGGTTTAGTTTGAAATAAATTATCCTTGCAACAGCTGAGTGAAAGTACTACTGTTACATTGGAGATATGCATCTTAGTGATTGTTCCTTAGAAACTTCACTAAGAACTTTCAGAAAGTCTCAGGCATGTCAGGAAACAGAACGTTATCCTGTTAATTCCATTTTATAACCAATGAATTGACCAGCCTTCATCTCAGTATGTTTAAATAAGTACAAGGTCATTGTTTTTTAACCTCTTGCCTTGTGCATTGTGTAAGTTTCATTTCATCTGTAAATAAAGAAGAATGTCAATTGAAAAACATTTTCATAAAATTGAAATGAATTCATCTAAACATTTATTATGTTGCAACTTTACAGCAAAACAAAAACAACATTTAAAAAAAAAAGTTTTACTTACAAAGGATTTATGTTCTTCAGTTCCTCTGTATCCTGGAATGCATAGAAGCAACTAAAGTTGTCCTCAGGTCCTTGAAAAAGATGATAGCATGGCTCAGAGCAGTTAATCTGGCTTGCATCTGTCTTATTCCATCTGAGGAACCCATGGGAAATAGAACAGGCAAAAATACATTCTGGAAATCATTCTATCAGTGTCGTGCTAGTCTTAAGTAGCCTCTTTCCTAGATGACCAGCAGAAACAGGCAGGGAACTGTTCTGCATACATACTTGTAGAAACCTATTTGCAGTTGCTATTTCCAGTTTATTGATTTTCAGTCCTTTGGATTCGGCTGTTTCACATCCTGTATCTTTAAGGTAAAATTTTTAAACTTTAGGCAGAAATTATAGGTTCCTCAGTTTGAAAAATATTTTAGGTACATTTTTTAAACAGTTTTAGGACCTCACCCATAAGTTTAAGGACTTGGAAAACTGGTGATACGTGTGGTTTTATTTGAAAGATGGGGCTGTTTTCACTGATGCCATTAAAGGTGGTTATGATTTTAACCAAGTTGGAAAAATTGATTTGTATACATTCAGTAGAGACTTGCAGGAACCTGACGTATGAAATCTAAAATTTTCCTTATGATGTCTTGTGTCTTCTGCATCTCCTGGTTCTGGAAGGTTGTACTGTAGAAAACGTCAGAAGAACTGAGTATAGACAGATAAATGGGGTTGGGCACAAGGAGACAGGGAATTCACTGTCTCGGTAGAACAGGACTTGTGTCAGAATCTGGAATAAAAGCTAATTTCACAACACTGCATCATTTTTTCCCTTCCTCAACAATATTGAAGAACACTCATTGGTTAAATACTCCATCTCTGTGTATGGAATACCAAATTATGTTCTCCTCAGTAGATCAGGTAGTGAAAATCAGTGCAGTGGATACAGAGATTCCAAATTTGTTCAAAATTCATGTGCACATCATGTTAGTGCAATATGATGGGTTTGGGAGTTTTTTAGTTTGGTTAAGCGTCAGGCCTAAAATGTTACTGTCACAAATTGCTAGTAAAGCAGTGTTTTTAGATCTTCAGTCTTGCCATCCAAGGTTGCAAAATGAAAAGGTCATTTGTCTGTGGAGGTTTGATTTATTTCTTTGTGTGCACACTTTATGATCTAGTCCTTCATTATATGATCACATGCCATCTTTTTTCACTATGGTACCTGCCACATTCTCTTCACAGAAAAGATAGAGTTGAGGTTGTAAATTGTTAATTCAGTGACTTGTTCTTTGCTTCCTGTCTCTGTAACCCTGCATGTGCTGCATGTGTCTAGAATTCTTTGCTGATAATGGAATGAATAATTAATTCCTGTCTTTTATTGGTGCTTATCACTACAGCATCTGTCTGCGTTCCAAAGATTAATGAACTTACCACAACACTTATTACAGTGGCTATTATTTTCATTTTTTGTTTGAGAGCCACCAAAAAGACATTAAGGTAAAACACAAAAAATGACAATAATTTGGAATATGCCATGTGAATGATGTAAGATCAGATTTTTCGTAGTTAGTTATGAAAAGATGGTAAGGTGTATGTTGAAGTTTATTGCTGCATTAAAAGCTTTCTGTATTCTGAACTGTGAGCATTCTGAACTAAGGTCTAAAGGCAGACTCTGTAAATCTGTTGTTAAATGCAAGTAGCTCTAGAATTTTTGTTTAGTTACCATCACATAGAGATCAGGCAGTAACAGTAGTGGCAAAATCCATTATTGCAGTTTAATGTGTGATTGCTTTAGTGACAAAATCCTTCTTTCTGCACTCTCCTTGTTGCATGTTTTAGCTATCTCTCCATTTCTGCAACAAATGGAAAGACTCAAAGGCAGACCTCCTTTCTGAATTTTTCTTCCTTTATTTGAAAAATATCCAACACAGTTATGTAGCTTGGAAAGGTTGTTGTGCATGTCCAGTGAAAGACAAACTAAAGTGATCCGAGAACTTCACTTTCAAATTTGAATATTCTTTTAACAAACATTCTTTGACATTCATAATAAAATCAGTTTTCAGAGACTGAGGATAACTAACCACTAAAATGAGCTACCAATAGAATTTGTGGATTCCTTATTTTGATTTTTAGATTGAGTGAGATCTGTGTTAATCTAACACAAATGCGAAGAAAATAGTTTAAAATCATTTCCTCAGAAAAACAAAAAATTAATCTGGTACATCATACTTAATTTCCTTTTTCTGATGAGGATTCAGAATGCAAAATGCTTGAATAAATAAAAGCTACCGGTCTTAAAATAGTACAGCTTTCAGAAGAGATAACACGTTATTTTAACACAGTACTTTGTTTTGGAAACTAGTAAAGCATTGAAGGGGGAGGAGATGGCTTTTTATAGCTGTACCAGAAGCAAATGGAGCAAGCCTGCTGTTGAATGATGGGGCAACCTCATGACAAAGGATATGGAAAAATTTGAGTACTCAATACTGCCTTTTCTTCAGTGTTTAGTGGCAAGGTCTACTTTAATGCCCTGAAAGCCTAGTGGCAGAGTTTAGAGAAAGAAATGCTACCAGAAGTATAGGAAGCATAAATTACAGTTCACTTAAGGAACTGTGACATCCACAACTCTATAGGACCAGATAGAATGCATCCAAGGGAGCTGAAAACACTGGCTGATACCAGTGCTACGCCACTCTGTCATCTTTGAAAATTCATGGCAATCAGATGAGATTTTCCAGAAGACTAGATAAAAGGCAAATGTCATGCCTGTATTCAGAAAGGGAAAGAAGAAGGATCCAGGGAACTGCACTGTGATCAGCTTCACCACAGTCACTGAAGATTATGGAAGATACCTTCCTGGAAACTATATCTAGGGTGACAAATCATGCCTGACCAGCCTGGTTGTCTTCTGTGGTGAGATGACTGGACAACAGGAGAGCAATAGATGTCATTTGCTTTGACTATAACAGGGCTTTGACACAGTTCCCCATTGCATTTTAGTCAAATTTGGGAGATACAGTTTGGATAGTGGGCTGCTAGCTGGGTGAAGAACTGCCTCAACTGAGTGGCTCAGACAGTAGTGGTCAGTGGTTCAGAACTGAACTAGCAGATGGTTACAACTGTCATTTCTGAAGGGTTGATACTGGGGCAGATGCAGTTTAATGTCATTGTTAACCATGTGGACATTGGTGATGAGGTGGAAAGTACCTGCAGCAAGTTTGTGGATGACAGCAAATAGAAGGGAAGTTGATATACTGGAGAGCAGGACTGCCCTTTGGAGAGTCTCAACAAGCTGGAGAAATGGGATGACAGAAAATTAATGAAATCTGACAAAGTCAAATGCAGAGTCCTAGATATGGGACAGAATTAATTATGTGCAATCAGACAGTCTAGGGACTCACTGGCTAGGACACACCCTTGTAGGGAGCAGCAGTTGTGCCCTTGCGGAGATAAAGGCTAACATCATACTGGGTTGCATTCGCAAGACTGTAGCCAGCAGGTCAAGGGAAGTGATTCTTCCAATCTTTTTGGCACTTCTGAAGGTACATCTGGAGTTGTGTATGATTTTGGGCTTCTCGGTACAAGAAAGATACTGATAAACTGGAGTGAATTCAGAGGAGAGCCACCAGCATGAATAGAACCTGGAACATGTGATCTATGTCAAAGAGACTGAGAAAGCTGGTTTTGTTTTACTTGGACAGAAGACTAGGAGGGGATCTAATTGTTGTCTTTTGTTACCTATATGGAGGTTGCAGAGAGTATGGAGGCAGATTTTCCTTCAAGATACACAGCAAGAGGGTAGGAGGCAGTAGTCACAAGTTGCAACAAAGAAAATTTTGACTGAGTATAAGAAAAAGATTTTTCTCAGTGAAAGAGAGTAAGCAGCAGAAAAGCTGTCTAGAGAGGCTGTAGAATCTCTGCTCTTGGAGATCAGCCCTGGACAACCTGATCTGACTTTAACGATAACCCTACTTTCAGCAGTGTTTGGACTAGAGACCTCAAGGTCCTTTCCAACATAATTTTTTAGTGATTAGGAATTCTGTGATCCAGGGGGTGTAGAATGGGCAAAGATGTTGAATAATGCATCTAAAATAAGATTCCTGTTGTTGCATCTTAATACAGTTTTAAAAAACCCCAACCAAACCAACTGTGCATTGATCTAGTAATGAAACTACTCCAGTAGCTAAAATCTTAGCCTGAACAAGTTCTTAAATAAATGTGGGTTTTTATCATCTTGAAGTTGCAGTGATGATTATGAAATATTACCTGGGTGGTTATGCACCCAGGTTCACATGGTGATATGAGAAAGAGTCTAACCAGTCATTCCAAAATCTAAGTTGCTGCATCACAACTTTCTGTACAAGAAAGCTTTGGAACTTTACCACGTGTGTTTTTAACTCTGTTTGGCAATGTTTAATGCAAATGATGTTGCTTTGTGAATGCTATGTATTCATGTATCAAACAATATTTAATGGATATATTTTTAGGGCTGTTTTTACTATCCTATTCCCATAGAAACTTTACTAGGTCTCTACATATGTGCCTAACTAGTTTTAATTTATCTAATTGGGAAATGTGATCTCCCACCCCATTCTTCTCTAATTGCAGCAAGAAAGCTCCTAAGAGCTTTTGTTCCACTGTCCAGCTCCCTTGACAGTAGCAGAGATTTGAGCTAGTTAAAAACCACATATACAAGAGAAAGCATTCAGGTGTTGGAGAACAGAAAAACAGTACCTGTCACTGAGCTAAATTCTCTTTAAAAATTTGAATCCAATTATATCTTCAAAACTGAACACTGTTACTAAGCTTCTTTGATATGAGAGAGGTTCCTCTGCTGTTAAGAAGTTTCAGCATCTCTGACCCAGTGTCCAGTATGAAGAGTTATATGAAGAAGAGGTGAAGTATAGGCTGGGGAGACTGTTACCTCTACTGCCAGCAACAGGCATTGGGGTGGAGAGGTGAAATCATGCTGTGGTATATTTTTGAGAGGATTCCACTTCAAAGTCCATGACTTCTCTAAGGAATTTAGCAGTTATTGAAGTATAATTGCAGTTTCAGTGGAAGAAGAGGGAGACACAGTGGAACACATAGGACAGAACTAGAATGATTGTAGTAGATATTTATGGAAGGTTTATTTGGAAATTATTCTTCTGTCTAGCTTTCTTCAGTGAATTTTCTTACAAGAAGGGGTATTTATCCTTTTGGAATGGAAAAAGTAGTTCCTCTTTAATACTGAACCACATCCTAGCTGACTGACTTCTTTCAAATTCTGCCCAAATTTGATTGGAACACATGCATTTGCATTGTTCCAAGTTAAAGAGCTCAGTCAGCATTGTTCAGTTAGAATAACCTCGACCACTCACCAGGGTTTTTTGACCGGCATTGTTTATTTTGGTTTTGAAATTAAATATTTGGGGTTTGTGTGTGTCAATTGTAGAATAGAAATGGATGTAGACAACTGACCAACACAACTGTGCAAATATGTTTTGTAGTACCAGTCACTGCATCACAAATTACTTTTCAGTTCAGTCCAGTTAGTAGTGGGAAAGGGGAAGTAATAGTTTATTGCACCTGAGATATTTTTTAGCATAGAAGGTTGTGGGTGTTTTTTTTAAAATGTCTTAAGTAGTAACCTGTTTCTTTTTGTTTGTTTGTTTCAGCATTAAAGCTGGACGTCTCCTCTCGCACATTCCATATCAGCTTTACAGCAAGCAGTCTGGTGTTCAAAAAGGTCTCAACTTCAATAGCATATGCAAACCTGAAGATGCCGTGCCAGGTCCAAGCAATATAGCTAAAGATCTCAACAGGGTGTAAGTGTTTCTGATCTTGTAGTGCAGATGCTAATCATTCACCCATAATGGGTTTGCATTTATAACTATATAGCATTTTTAAAATTCACTTCAGCTTTATAAGAGGGAAGCTCTGAATCACTGAAATTTAAAAACAAGGTATTGCTGTATAGATAGTTAAGGACAGAATTGCAATTACCTTGACTCCAAGCCTTGTCTCTAGTCTTTGGGCCACACTTTGCCTGGTAATGTGACCTGGGAGTCCTAGGATACAGCATATCTATATGGAGGCTACAGGTATACATTAAAGGATTCTGACTAGTGACACTGAAAAGTAGGTCTTTATTTTTAAAAAAAGCTGGTATGATTTGACTACGTTTGTTAAAGGTGCGTAGGAACAAATGTAAATGCATACTAGTTGTTAAGTTCTTTCTTTAGCTTCTTTTTGAAAAACAGTCACAGTGTACCTTATGTATCGTAACACCAAAGTTTAAGTCACACTTCATAGAGAAGAGGGATTAAAAAATCCAATTACAATATAAAAAAATTATCTTCAAACAACTTGAGAAGGTAATAGAACAGAAAATACCAGCAAAACTTTTAAACTGACAGAGAAATTGGAATTTGGAAAGAAACCTTCCACTTGAACAGATTGTTCTGTAGATGTTTTTAAGAAAGTTCCTGCATCTTTTTCAGAAGCACATATTTGTTGTTTAGAGGCAAGAGTCATGAAATTATAGAATGGTGAGGTTGGAAGACACATCTGGAGGTCATCTGGTCCAATGCTACTACTCAAACAGGGCCAAGGATACTGTACAAGATACTGTACTTTCTGATTTGTAATGGTGATCTGTGTTCTTCCACAGTCTAGTGATTTATTTAAAAGCCAGTCCTGTCTAATGCTGAGGAGACTTTACCACATGAGTGGGGTTTGTCTATATTTAGGAAAAATAAAACCAGTACCACAAAATTAATATCCTAAGCAGTATTTCTTACCCATATTTTCAACAATGAGTGATACAATCGCCATCACCTCTTATTATTGCATTGTTAATGTTTTTAAATGGGAAGAATGTTCAGACTTCCCAAAATACCAATTTAGTCTGAAAAGTATGAGTTTACAAGCCTGCCCTACCCACTGATACTAAATATGTACCACTGGATATACCGCATTCAGCTGTGCAGCTCCTCAAACATACTATATTAAATAGAATTTATGATTCTGGTAATCTTAACCAAATTGTTGTCACAGTTAATTGGCTTTCTGGTTTCACTGGTATACAGGATAGCTAATTGTTTCCCACCCTTTTTTTGTGTACTTAAGTTGGAAGTGATGGTTGGGGATTTTTTCAACAGATCAAGAGTATGTACGATTCTTGAAGGCTTTGGTTTTAATTCCACTTAGGATTTGTCACAGATGTAATTTTTTGAATAAAAGCTTTGCCTCTACACTGTCAAGAGTAAATGTAAATTGCCAGTTCACTTACGGCAGAATACATTGTTTTATATGCTTGAAAGATGAAAAGTAGTTTGGTTGGGTTTCTACCACCTGGTAGTGGTGCATTAATAATACACCAAGTGTGTGAAATCTTTTGTACAGCAATAGAATTCTGTGACATTGAGAGGACATGGCTCATAGTTTGAGATAATTGTCTTGAGAATGTGAAAACTACTTTAAATATAAACTGATAACAATTAGGGAGATAAATACTTAGCACTTGAAATGACCTGTTAATGTGCCACTTTGTTTGAAAGATGCGGTATTAAATAATCGTATTTGTTACAGAAATCATATTAAAAAGTGTGAGATGGAAAACGAGATCACACCGAATGGAATAAGTAGCTGGAATGAAGAAGAAGAAGAAGAAGAAGAAGAAAATGACGTTTTTGGATTTACGGAGCTGGAGCAGATCCTTCCTGGACGGAAACAAAATGGGATTCAGTCTCGCAAAGACAGCACTGCCATTTTTAACGGACACACACACACTTCTACCAGTGCCTTAAAGACACAGGATTGCTTGGTGCCCTCTGGCAACGGTGTTGCAAGTAGGTTCTCTCCAGGCCCTTTGCAGGAGGAGGGGAAGGCTGAAAAAGGCATGGTTGACTTTAGAGACTGCACAATGCAGCAGTTGCAGCAAAGCAACAAGAATACAGACTTTTCGTGGAATCCACATAGGACTATGAGAAATTCATCCTCGTCTTCATCTTTGCACAGTAATGCTAAAATAAATGGTGCTCACCACTCCACTGTTCAGGGGCCTTCAAGCACAAAAAGCACTTCTGTACCTACTCTTAGCAAGGCAGCTTCCTTGCCTGTGTCCAAACCTTCAGATTGTAGTTTTATTTCTGACTTTTATTCACGTTCAAGACTGCATCATATATCAACATGGAAGTGTGAATTGACAGAGTTTGTCAACAGCCTTCAGAGAAAAAACAGCGGTGTCTTTCCAGGAAGGGAAAAATTAAAAAAATGGAAAGCAGGCAGGTCTGCACTTAAAACTGACACAGGTAGATACTTGTTTAAGAAGGTTTATGTTGGGAAGGTGCCTTATATCTTTGTACATTAAATGTCTAACTAAGTAGGTTAGCGTTCAATATTCACATTACAGTCAGGCTGTCTGGAAAAGCTTGATGACTTTGATGTGCTGATCCAACTACTTTTGGTTTTGTTTGTTTGGGTTTTCCTAACTTAAAATGTGACTTAATGTGATACTCTGATCTATATTCAATTCCTTCTTGTAGAAATAATATTCCTGATTTTACCAAGATATGTGGATTGATCAAGTGAAAAAAATAGTATATATATCTAAATACACAAGTCTGTACTTGCTGTATGAAAATCTAAAGGGAAAAAACAGAAGAAAAAACCTTTCTGCTTATAGTTCAGTGTGAAAATTTTAAACATAGTAACATGTAGAAGTGAACTAGAATCTACTTTTTTTTTTGTTGTTAATAAGAGTTTTATATACCTCTGGGTCTGTTTAAACGAGTAGAAGTGTCATATGAGACTTTTGAACCTGGCTTGTGACAGAAGAGAAATGTTTTATGTCATTATATCAAGGGCCAAAATAAAAAAATGTGTCATTCATGAGAGGCAAAATGTTACCATTATAGATCAAGTATTTTACATCTTTAGTATCTCTCATTTATAGTCTTATTCAATTAAAAAGCTAGCACTATACTATCAAAGAAATTGTCTCTGTTTTGCTGTAAAAGTACTCACTTGTAATCATATGAAAATATGCTTGACTATAAATTACTACATCCAAAAAAATTTCTGTCAGATAAATAAACTGATTCTATGTTTGTGCTAGGACACCACAGTTATAAAACATGTTAGCTTACAAACTACCTTAATGTGGGGGGGGGGTTTCATCAAAATATGGTCTAAACTAATATATTTTTATTTTCTCTTTGATTGGGCCTAGAGTATTCAAATAGTTAATGGCTGTGTCTCAGGTGATAAGTAGCAGCTTCTTAAGCATTAACTTGATCACTTGCTTTGTAAATATGCCCTTTTTAAGACAGTCCTTTTTTCAAAAAGTTACTTAAATGGTAAATTGTTAACAATAAGGAAACATTTTTTTGATTATTCAGTAATTAACTCAGATGTTAAGCAGAACAATTCACTTGATCTATCAAAGTATTTTTTTCACTGTTACACTTTATGCATTGTTCAAATTAAGATTTTGGGGGAGGGGGGTTTGGTTAGATACAGCCTCCTGGTAGGACAGCAATATGGACATGCACTTGAACTTCTAGAATACTTGACACAGGTATTACTAGTGCTTTAGGCATGTGAGTTTTTCAGTCTGGAGCCATTTTGTTTATCTTTGCTGGATATTTGTGTGAGTGTAGGTACAGCAATGACAAAATCCTATTGCGTGGGAGGTTTAAAACTAATTTTGGTGTGTTTCATGAAGAATTAATGGTAGCTCTTAGTGCAGCTAAACTTTTTTTAATCTTTTGGAACAGTATTCTGATTGGTGAACAAACAGGAGTAAGGTTCTCTGTTCCACATTCAGTGTTAACATAGCAAAATTAAGATCCAGTTCCCACAAAATGCATTAATCTCCTTGGGTTGGGGGAACTTGTTAGGGAGAAGGTGTTAATTATGAGAAAATAAAATAGAAACTTTTAAGCTGATGCACTGTTTAGTCTGTTAGTCTACTATTTATTTTTACATTTCTCTGAGAATTTTGTAAATTTAAATATCTTCTTGGTGAGAAGAAACAAAAATCTTTATAATTTAAGGTGGTAAGAACTTGATAATAGTCCTTGATGACTACTGTGAGTAGTACCAAAATGTATAAATTAGGGTTCAAGTTTTCTGTTGGTGTATCTTCATACTAGGTAATGTGTCTGTTGCGAGCTCAACCAAGCCACAGAGCTGTATAATGCACGTGGATATGGATTGCTTCTTTGTGTCTGTGGCTATCCGAAATAGACCAGATCTCAAAGGTCAGTATTTAATTCTACATGTTACAGTTTACTCAGTTAAGCCTTTAAAAACAAAGCCAAACTTTCACACTTACAAAATGAACTTCACATGTTAATCTTTTTATTCCTGTTTACTTTCTCACAATCCAAAAGGAAGTGGAAGAGAGAACTGGAATTCTCCTTGCTGTCTCCTTTCACTATCTAGAGAAAAGAAAAGTAAAATCTGGAGTAACATTCTCTGTAACATTGCACATATCTTACTGAGACTTAAATCTACCATAATAGAAATCAGAGCTCAAATTCTAGTTGTACCAAAAGTAGATTTTGGTCACTGTGTTTAAAAAAAAAGGGATATCCTAATAATTTTCCTGAAGTGATGGAAGGAGCTTTGTTTTAACTAGAAAAGTGGAATGTTCAAGGTTGAGAATTGTCTCTTTGCCTGATGCATCTTTTTCAAGGGAAATTTGCTTCTCCTGTTTGCTATCTTACACATGAAGTACTACAAGACCTGGAGGCTTAACAATTTAGTTAGCATTTAGAAGTCTGAGTTGTGTGATCATCCTTGGGGCATAGGAAGAGTTAGTGGAGCTCCTTAGCAAGTTTGGTGGGTTCTTTTACAAGTGTACCATTTAGAAGTGGAGATACTAGTTGTTCTGTGCAAACACTGAACTTCGGTGCTGTAGAAAAATTATGGAGGAGTTGATATTACTAAAAAGTCAAAAGTTTACTGAAGATTTGATTTTGTACAGTTAATTAAGTGGAAGCGAGTGTGTTGTTATGCGTATACTCTTCTAGTTTACTTAAGCTAATAAACATGATAAAGTATTTAAAATTAGTACAGTGTTTGCTGTGTCTTAAACTAATGAATCATTAGGCATTGGTGAAGTTTCACAGCTTCCATCTATACTTTTTATTAAAGACAAACTAGTATGGCTGTATTTTTATCTTTTAAAAGCTTTTCTTTACATGTGACTTCAATTAAAACAACAAATTCATAGTCACAATGCAAAGTCACTTTCTTAGCTGTTTCCTTCTTAATGCTGTAAAAGTATATAAGCTTGAAAGAAAATATAAAAAAATAAAGCAGACATGTTTATGATCTCACCTACTGTAGTTGTGCTCTTATTAAAATGTAAGTTATAGATGTTGACTTGTAAGCAGTACATTCATTTCTTCTCCACAGGAAAACCAGTAGCTGTTACTAGTAACAGAGGTGCAGGAAAGGCACCACTGCGCCCTGGTGCAAACCCCCAGCTTGAACAGCAATATTATCAGAATAAGCTATTGAATGGCAAAGCAGGTACAGATAAGTCTGTTTGTTTGTTTGTCAGTATGTTTTTAAATTTTGTTATTGAAGACTTTTTCTTAAAGCTATTAAAAAGTGTGCAGTGGATAAATTTGTTTAATTCATGTGGGGAATTTCAGAGAAGAAATAGCTTTGGACAACATGGTGCTCTGTGGCCTCAGTAATAACATGCCACTGTGACTACAAAGTTAGCTTTGCTCAGTATCGTGAATTATTTTAGAATAATTTTAGGTTTTACTGACTTTCATTGAGGTTGAGTATAAGATACAATGTTAAGTAATTATTTAAAACAGGAAATAAATACAGGTTGTCTGGGATCACTTTGTTATGAATAAGTCTATTATACAGAAGGCTACTAAATTTTTTTTACTATAAAAGTAGAAATGACAATACATGGCCAGTGAGAAGTTCTTTGAAGTTGGGTTCTGAATTGCGTGTGTACATTGTATCTGTGACCGAGAGTTAATTTGTGTGGTCCTTAGAGCATCTTAGGTTTCTGGAAAGTCTGTGCAACTTCCATGAGTTCTGTCTCCCCAGTATTTTGTTTCTTCAAATCCAGGGCATCTGTTGTAGTTTGAGGATTCCTTACTTGCCTGGAGTAATTTAGAAATTTGTTACTTTCTGTGTCCTCAAGTAGTACTATACTAATATAAACAAAGCATACTTTTATTAACATGTTTTATTACTATTCTACTGCCTGAACTGCATTTAGTATGAGAAAGTATATTGCCAAACATTGGCAACTTTGTTCTCTTTTTTTCTCCAACAGTCTGCTTCATCACCTTGAAGCAGTTTACCACAAGGTTTTAAAAGGTGCATATACAAGGGGCAGCTGCTATTTAATTTCAGTTTAGGATTGGAAGTGGAGTTTCTCCTTAGTCCCTTGCATATGCACTTTTTACCAACCTTGTGGTAGCAGGTATGTTGTTACAAAGTTTACACCTCAGTGAGTTATTTTGTTGATACAAGAGGTAGAAAAAGACAGGTTGTTCTTCCATGGTTGTTTCTGAAATATTAGTACTTAAAAAAAAAAAAAATCCCTAATAAATTCTGCCAATTTTCAAAGACATTTGGAAACAAGGTATTACAGGAAGTGATGCAATTTTATTTGTCTTTTTGCTGTAGTTTAAGAACACTTCAAAACTGAGGTAGAATATGTTTGTGGAACCCACTGGCCTTTAACTTTTTCAGGACTTCTCAGGATGCTCCAGGCTTAGCTTCTGCTGTGTTGTTTGCAATGCCATATAAAAGTGCTCTACAAAGATAGCTGTGTTTTTTATGGAGTTGGATTTTCTGTAGTACAGCTTGTATATGAACTATTTATTGGTAGTTCAGTTCTATACAGTGACTTCGTAACTTTTATTAGGACGTTACACTGGATGAGGGGGTGACTTCATACAATCAAGTGACATTTGGAGAGTGGGGCAGTTAAATTACAGAAGTTTAGGTGATATCTAGCAAGTTCTTTGTGATTCATAAATTCAGTGGTATCTCTTCTACTATATTTACTGCTTAAGGGTATAGCAGATTTCAGCCTCATTGTGTAACAACTCAGTTTCTTACTGCAGCAGCTTTTTCTGGATATCTGCACATTCATTTCTTTACTTCAGCATCCAATCTCACTGGCTTGCACACAAGGCAGGCCTCTTTCTTTCTTGATACTTAGACTGATTGTGCAACCTATTGTTTTAGTGAAAGGATTTTTTCCTAACACTCTTTTTATAATCTCTCATTAGCTGCAGTTCATAATATTTTTTAGTCTCTTTATTAATTTTTATCTCCATATACAATAGTTTTATCAACAAAAAATACAACCTGTTGTTTCTGCTTGCATTCTCATAAGTATATGGCTTGTCTTCCTTTTGGGGAAAAGAAGTTACAGTTAGTTGTGGTCTTAGATGAAAAGGTGGAATTGCAGGCGAGGCTTTTCTAACATCATAGTATCTTAGAAAGCGTATATGACACACTTCACGACATGTGTTTAATTGTGCCGTGCCAGAGGTAAATATGGTCCGGTAGGCACATGTATCACATGGAAAAGTACTTTTTTCTAAAATACCAAAATACAGAATGCTAAATTATGCTGTTAAACATACACAATTCTGTTTGGAGACATGTTACATAAAAGAAATGAAAAGGTAGTTGGGACCAACTTTGAACATGAACATATTTTAACATCCATGCTTCAACATGGAACCCACTTCATTTTTTGATGCTTCAAGCTTTCCAGGCTGTTCTCTGATTTTGCCTTCTCCAACTCTTGCTTATTAGAAAAAATGTTTCAAATTAAAAACCAACCAAACAAAAACCAAACCAAGCAAAAAATAAACAAAACAAAATCTTTATTAATTACTTTTGAACAAATACTTGAATTCTGCTACTTTTATCTTTTTTTTTTTTTTTAAATTACTTCTTTAGTGATACTGGTTCCTGCCTTTGATCTGCATTGCTAGACAAATATCTAGTGTCAATAGAGTCTTGAGCCTTTTATGAAATACTTTCTTTTTCTTGTTTGAATTCATCCAAAAATGTATAACTTTTAAATTTAAAAACTTGCTATCACTCTCACCCAAAATCTCCCAAATTGGAGATAGCCTTTCTGGCTAGTAGAAATTACTTCTCTACATACATGCCATCTTTAACATTCATGTTCTAAAGACAGAAGATTAACATATGTTAATCAGGATTCATAGTTTGGGGTCTCTTTTTCTATGGCCAGGATGCCCAAGATGTGAATGTTTTCTAGGCTTCCTTTCCCTCAACCCTAGTATCTCCCTTTTTTCATTCTAAAGAGCAGCAGATTTTAACCATCATATTAGTCACAGATTTATTCTCAGCGATTTCTTTTTCACAGACTTGGGTCCTGGCCTCTGATTTCTCCATCCGTTGCTCCACATTCACCATGTGCCTGTCTAGTTTCCCAGCTTTTGATGAGAGGTTCTCTACCTTGCCTTCCATTGAGGACAATGTGTTCTGCATTGCCCTGAATTTCACATGAAGTGACTCCATCAGCTCATGGGGGGATCTGCTCTGCTGCGATGTGGAAAAAGTCAACGAGTCCAATGAAGATAGACAAGATGACAGCATCATCTCAGGCCAGGGCACAGGAAGGCATGGACTAAAGAAATTGTTCTTGTCATTCTTATCTTTATTTGGGGCATAATTTTGCTCTAATTTTCAGTTGTAGACATCTTAGGTAACTTACTGAGCTCATCATACATTAAAATATATAAGACATAAAAAGGTGCACAAATTTAGCAGAAATTCTGAATAAAAGCAGGTTTTCACATGAGTCAGGTTCTACCCCTGCTGTCTCCACTCACTCATTACAACGCTTTCTCTGGTCTGATAACTGGTCATTTGTGCAGATAGCACCATGTTGCCTTTCAGTCAGATTGTCAGTGTGTAAGTTGTTAGTAGCCTGAAATATAATTAGGCATTGTGGCACTCTGAAGAATACTCCTTTTTATTATATTACAAAGGTATATGGTATTGAATAGACTACAGTAATGAAAAAGAACTATAGCATACATATTGGATTTAATTTTAAGTTAATAGAAGCTTTTTGTCTGCATGATACCTTGTTGGTTTGATTCGCATGGGAAGTTTGGGAAGGCATGGTAGTTTTTGCACCTAGCCATTTTTTCAGGCTGATGTTTATTTAGAGTATAGGCCTGTGTCTTTGAAGGTTTACGTACTGTGAAAACTCAAATAGAAAGGAATAGAAAAGGGTTTACTTGATTCCAGTATTCAGAGTCATGGATTTCTGTTCTAGTACCTAGTATGCAGTGGGCCTGGAGGACTCTAAAATTTAGTTAAGAGCTTGCAGTAGAGTTTTATAGAATTAGGGAAGGTCTGTCTCATTTTACATCTGGGGTTGCAGTATTTGTAATTGTATCATTTTTATCCAAGATAAAATTATGGCGATGTTTGAAAGAAGTTGACATATCCTAATAAGAGAATTATTAGAAAGTAACAGCAAAAGTTTTGTCAATTAATATCTCCAAAGAGTATTAAAGGAAATAAAAGTTTCTAGCTAATGCTTTTTAATTTGAGCTAATCAGCATTCTGGTTATTTTACTTCTTTAAAATCACTCTGTGTTATCTAGATTATTAGAAAAACAGTTTTAAGTAAGAGGTTGTAAGTATGATAAAAAGTGGGTTTGTATTCTGAATTTAATTTCTGTGTTATGCTGGTGGTTGTGCTTTTTGTAAAAAGGAATATAGCTAAGTGTTGTCTTGTTCAGACAAGCAGTTAGTAAATTTTTGTCTTGTGTTTGCTTACAGGATATAGTTCTAGTAGTTAGCCTCAAGTGTTTGATCGTTTTTATTGTAATTAAAGGTAACTGAGATCAGTCTTACTTTACAGTCTGCAGTGTGGTGTATGCAGTCACCAACAAGCTGCTGTCTAGTAACTGTGGGGAAAACAGACACAGAATTTTTCAGTAGCTTAATATTCTTTTCAGTAATATGTACAGACGGGGGGGGGGGGGCTGTCTGTCTTTTTTTCTGGGCCATGATATAAATCAATACAGTATTACGAACCTCTTCATCAACAGGTAGCAGTATAGAAATTGTGTAAAATAAACCCCATAATTTTTATTTTATTCACATTCATTCTGTTGAACTCTTAAGAAAAATGACATGAACCCAAATATAAATATTATTTTCCAAGCAGAAATTAGAGTAGCTGATAAGCTGGACTCACCAGTCTGGGAGCATCTGGATTCCACACACGTGAATGGAGCTGACTTCGATCTCACTGTTCTGTCCATGGCTGAAATAGCTTCTTGTAGTTATGAAGCCAGGTAGGTAAAAGTTACCTATCAGGTTGCTTGAAAATCTTAGTTCTTAGATCAGTTGCTTGAAATTTATCTAGAGAGTTATTTTTTATATTTTCAAAAGTTGTAGTTAAATAGTTGTTGGAATTTAACACAAGGTTTTCCCTATGGATGCTGCTGCTTTTTAAACACTGCTTAATAGCTCTCAGCCTAACCTACATGTAACTTGAAACAAAGCATATTAAGGAAAACCTTATGCCATTTGCTGTGATATTGTTGATTGCATAATTATCTTCACTTCTCTGTGTCAAAGTTGCATTCTTTTATGGAGTTAAGAACACTTTGTTATTGAAGGTTTTAGTTAAAATGAGACAGTAAGTGTGATACATAAAACCATTTCTTGCACTGATTATGTTGAGCATTCCCAATAACATAGCTTATAAATGTTCAGAGTATGAAACAACTTGTTATAAATATAAGCACAGTTTTGGAAATAGGATTTTGTTCCCTGATGATAACAATACTCCAGAAATTATCCCTTCATTGGAACATTTCTCAAGCATTCTGGGATAGGTAGGATTATATTTGTGTCTCAAAAACTTAGAGTTTGTTTATTACAGGAGCATAATTTTGTAAGCTTGCACAGTGGATTGTAAGATCCAGTTACCTTAGTCACTGTAGTGTATATGTGTGGTTTTAATTTGAAACTGAAGGTAGCAAGTAGTGCTTTCTGGAGACTTCTTTCTCTTTAAGAATGTTCCCATTCAGGCTGTCCATACTGCATGCCTGAGTATTATACAGCTAATTTAAATACTCTATTTGCAGGGGTTTTTTTTTTACCTATTAAGTTTCTAGCAGTTGGACTAAATTCCTTCTTATTGATAATTCATTCTTGTGGGAAAATATAAATACTTCATTTGGAAATACTCCATATTAATTTGTAGAAAAGTTGGTACTGTGTTTATTTGGGGTTTTTTTATTATTTAATTTTAGACAAGTTGGCATAAAGAATGGAATGTTTTTTGGCCAAGCAAAAAAGTTGTGTCCAAATCTACAAGCGGTTTCATACGATTTTGATGCATACAAAGAAGTTGCACGGACAATATATGAAATACTAGCAAGGTAACATGTGCTGTTTGTTTACATGATCTTTCATGGTAAGGTTATCTAGCATATTTTATTTGCCGCTGCTGAATGCCATTATTCGATTTAGTATTTGCATCCCTGTGTTACTCTTCAGCTTCAATAAAGTCATTCCTATTTGACAACTTCCTTTTGTAGTATTTTTGTCATTTTGAGCACTGTGCTTCTTTTGATCTTGAAGCCAAATCCTGTAAACAGTCAACATCTGATTTCTAAAGGAGTCATTGTTAATTTTTTTACTGATTACACTATGAGAAGCAGATCCCTGCTTAGTAGTGAGATTCTTCCAGGAGGTTTTTTTGAGTGACTTAAGAATGGATTATTGGAGTAACTTCTATTAGAAACTACTTTCTGGTTTTAAATGCACTTTGAACAAAACCGGAAATTTGTATTCAGCTCCTCCTCCAGCTGTTCCTTTAAAATCATGATGCATGTTGAAAATAGTCCTACATTAGTCATGTTACTGTAATTTGCTGGTTTAGCATTTTTAATATGTAAGTGATGTGTGATACAAAATAAGCAGGGAAATGCCACCACAAAAGGAAGACTTTATTTGCTACATATTTGTTTTAACAGATGGTGAGCTGTTGCTGGTGTTTCACCTCCTTTACTTTGTGTTGATAGCTATACTCATAACATCGAAGCAGTCAGTTGTGATGAAGCACTAGTAGATATCACTGAAATCCTTACAGAGACCAGACTGACTCCTGATGAACTTGCAAATGCTATCCGCACCGAAATCAAAGCTCAAACTAAATGCACTGCTTCTGTTGGGATGGGTGAGTACCTTATTTCATTTCTATTTACAAGAAGTGCCTACTATTGTAAGGTGTGTCAAAGCTGTCTAAGATTGCTAAAACTCTTAAGTGTTTGTGTGATATGGAATATATTGCCATTTAAATTAGTGTAAATAACAATGCAAGACAATCTTCATAAGGGGAAAATTTTAAGCAAAAATTTGTAAAATTGCTATAATGTCTCCTTTGTTATCTGAACAGTATGCTAAAATCCCATCTGTATGATATTCTTACATTCATTTTTATAAAATGCTGCTGTATTTTTCCAGTAAACAGAAAAATGAGCATGGATTCTGTTCCTTATCAGAGATAGCAGTAAGAGTTTATGGGGCGTCATGATTTAGCATAATTATTAGAAGGTATTGAAAGCAAAGATTTGTGTGATTTGTACTAGGTATTGTATATGAAATCACACATCTGAAAATAGTTCCTTGATTTCTTTTCACTTGTCCTCTTCCTTTCTCCTTTGTTTTTGTCTCTAATCCTAGGGTTGAGTAAATATACTGAGTGTATATAAGTATATGAAATCCACTTGTGAGACAAGCTGAAGTTCATTAGTCTAAACAGAATTCTTTATTTCTTCTGATATCATAGCACAGAGACTGTAATTCCCTGGATTCCTGTTTGTGTCTTGTTTTGACTTGAAACACATTTGTAATCTCTTATATGCTTATTTAATGTGTTTGTTTTTTCCATAGAAAGAGCGGAATTAGTTTTGAAAGCATTATTTCTTAGATACAGTTCTTAGACCGAATGAAAGAGACAAATACCTATGAGCATTTCTTTTTTTCTAATAATCAATTTGTGTGAGATATTGGAAAATAATTTTGGTATCCTTTCTAGAAATTCATATGGTAGGTACACAGCAATGACTTTGTCTCTTCACTTATAATTCATCATTAACCAAAAATATCAGAGGAAACAATTGTATTATTACATGAATATAGAGATCTTACTTCAAAAACATGATCTGCCAGAAACATACATCTTGTGTAAGTGATTTATATGTTGCCCAATGGGAAAGTTGTACCAATATAACAAAATGTAAATTTTAGTAAATACTGTTATACTATTGAGATCTCCTCGCAACACCGTTTTCTGATTAGAGATAAATTAAAGAAGGACATGCTTATGCCAGTTGAATAAATTTAATTTTTACCCTAGAGATTTTAGTGGCTAAACTAAACTGATTTAAGCAATGCTAGTGAAAGATTAAACACTTATCTGTAAACATCCTGTATCTTGGTTTCTTGTTTGTTAAGTGAGGTATTAGTTTTTTTCCTGCTTTACTTCAGTGTTGAGGGAATAATACATTGCAGGAGGTAAATCACAGATTTGTGGTATTAGAGGCTATGTTGGTATGTTTGATAGGTAAGAGGATCAGAAATCTTCAGTACACTATAGACAAAACGTGGACCCCCAAAGTTAAATAGGAGATTGAATGATGAATCTGTCATTGTTTCATCAATTGAACCTCTCAGGAGAAACAGTGCACATAAAATTCTGTTACTGTTCTTATTAACTAAAATTTTAGAATAGACAAAAAGAATGTGAACGTAGGTGGGAGGAGAAGAGCAATAGTAACACATAGTGCTGTGAGTTGTAAATTCTCTTGACCTTTTATTAGTTTGTTTTAGCTTACAACAGGGTGTTTGAGTGGTAGTAATTTATGTGTTTGAGTATCATTTCAGAGATATTACTGGCTGGGCATGAATAAGCCAATAAACAGGGAAGAAAAAATACTGAAATAGGTCTTGTTCCCACCGCACTTTATGAGTGCACATAATAATTTAATAGATCATTGGATTTTTTTAGTGAATACTGAGGTCCAAATATTAGCTTAATTCCAGTGTTTCGCATATGTTTAATAGAATTGTCCCTAAGTAGTATTTACGTTGACCACAGCAGATTTTTTTAAGTTCTGAAGTATTAAAATATTACACTTCTAAATTTTTTAGCCATTTGCACTTGTTTATCTGTACCTCTATATGTGTAGAACACAGCCAAGAGAAATAAATTCAGTGTTCTTAGTGAAGTGTCCTGCACTTACTTGTTGGTTGGTTTGGTTTTTTTGGTGGTTTTTTGTTTTGATTGGTTTTAACTTTGCAATTGCAGTTACCAGTAGTTACACTGCTGTAATCACAAGAACTGCTAGCTGGTATTTTGGAAGTATATACTGCAAATGTATATGAATATATTTAATTAAATTAATTGTAAAAGATAAATAATTTGAGAGTACTTTCTGCAATTTTTCCTTGGCTGTTGAACTGCGGTATTCTACTTGAAAAGACAGAATTTGCCACAGACATACTTTAAATTGTTGTTTTTACAGGTTCCAATATTCTGCTGGCCAGAATGGCAACTCGTAAAGCAAAACCAGATGGACACTATCACTTAAAACCTGAAGAAGTGGATGATTTTATCAGAGGGCAACTTGTTACCAGTCTTCCAGGTACTCCTTTCATTTAGAGGACATTTTGCCTCCTGATATTAAAACAGTTACAGCTAAAAATCTGTGGTCTGGATCAAACAAGATCAGATGCTATTCCATGGTTATGATCCAAAAAAAGATCTACTGATCTCTGAAATTTCTGAAGAGAATCTCTGTGACCTTTTTGTGTCTTTGAGAAACATCTTTTTTAGAAGGAATTTTACAGATTCACACTGCATGATCTAAAGAAGTTGTTCAGCATTTAGTATGTTATACAACCTTACATTCTTTAATAAAATTATTTAGATGAGTCATTTCAAGTGAGTGCTAGTTTGCTGTATCATGATGAATGTAATAAAATTAGTAATATCAGGTACTTATCACTGAGAGAGGCAGGGTTTGCTCAGAACTGAGAACAAGTCCAAGAGAGTATTCTTTCTAAAAAGGAGTGTATGAAGTCAGGATTTGCAAAAAACAGCACAGATGCCATAATAGAGAGTATATGAAAGGAAAAAAGGAGAGAGGAATTTATTTAATATCTGCTGCATCTAAGAAACGGAGAGATTTCCAAAAGAATAAGGACAGGAGGAAAATTAAGAAAAAAAATTTGGCAGAGAAGTATGTTACTGAACTATAGTTTCTGCTTTTAACATGAGCCATATTAGAATGGCTGATAAATAGAGAGGAAGGTGGAAAGTAAGGCTACTGTGGGAGTATTACCACTGTTGTGCTCTGCATCCAGCTATAGACAGCTTTTGGTTCTGGTAGACTTAGAATATACTTTAGGCATTTATTACATAGGTAATTTTTTTTGTGTGTGTAAGGAACTTTAGTTAATGGTATGCTGCAAACTGTGACAAAATATGTTGATTCTTTTAAAGAACAACAGGTTTGTCAAATTCCAACTCTTGGCTAGTTGTCTGAAGAAATTATTGTGACAATTATGATATAATTTGCAAGCATGAACTGTTTGGCAGTTTCAGCCAAATCTTACTGAGAGATATAAGTTCGAGTGACATAATGTTTGCACAAGTTTTGTGAAAAATTACAGCTTGACAGAGGAGAGTGATCCAAATTGGTACATCCTTTGAGGGACAGGCAAGCAAAATTCAACTGTTGTACATTTTTGGCAGTAGTTCTCAGTCATCATCTGTATAGCCAGAGTATATGTTTTCTGTCATGTGGACATAAGAGAATCAAAATCATAGAGTCACAGAATGGTTTGGGGTGGAAGGGACCTTAAAGATCATCTAGTTCCACCCCCCCTGCCCTGGGCAGGGACACCTTCCACTAGACCAGGCTGCTCAAAGCCCCGTCCAACCTGGCCTGGAACACTGCCAGGGAGGGGGCAGCCACAGCTGCTCTGGGCAACCTGTGCCAGTGTCTCACCACCCTCACAGTAAAGAATTTCTGCCTTATATACAACCTAAATCTACCCTCTTTCAGTTGAAAACTGTTTCCTCCTGTCCTGTCACTGCAGGCTCTGGTAAAAATTCCTCTCCACATTTTTTATAAGCCCCCTTTATATATTGAAAGGGTGCAGTAAGGTCTCCTTAGAGCCTTCTCTTCTCTAGGCTGAACAACCCCAACTCTCTCAGCCTGTCCTCACAGGGGAGGTGCTTCACCCTCTGATCATCTTCGTGACCCTCCTCTGCACCTGCTCGACCCCCTCTTTATGTTGGGGTCCCCAGAGCTGGACATAGCCCTCCAGGTGGGGTCTCATGAGAGCAGAGTAGAGGGGGAGAATCACCTCCATTGACCTGATGGCCACACTTCCCTTGATACAGCCCAGGATACAGTTGGCTTTCTGGGTTTTGAGAGCACATTACTGGGGCCTACCCAGTTTTCCATCCACCAGCACTTCCAAGTCCTTCTCAGGGCTGCTCTCAATCCACTCATTGCCCAGCCTGTTTTTGTGCTTGGGATTGCGCTGGCCCACGTGCAGGACCTTGCACTTGGCCCTGGGTGAACTTCATGAGGTTTGCACAGGCCCGTATCTCAAGTCTGTCAGGGTTCCTGTGGATGGCATCTCTTCACTCCAGGAAGGAGAAAGCTGGAGGGGAGGAAAGAAGCATTTTTGGCCTACAGGTTTTAGGGAGGTTCTCCAAGGCATAGCAGGATTCACAGAATGATGGCAGAGAACTAGAGTTACTGTGCTGGGAGAGTGATAGATGGTAAGGACATATGGAATAGACCTGTATGAAAACAGGCTTTATTACATTTTTTTACTGTTACAGGAAAATACTTAAAAGAGATATAAGCTAAAGTGTTTCCTGGCATGTAACTGTATTGTATTGTTATTCAGTACTTTAGTAGTATAATGTGACACAGTGCAAAAAGTGCTAAGTGCTCATTTTTGCTTTGTATGTTAGTGATAAGCTGAGCTCAGCCTGCATGTGTACACATATATTTAGTGTTAAATGTTCAAAATAGCATTTTTCTCTAAGAGAAAAAAAAGAGAAGGAAAGCAAAAAATAGATAGCAATAGACACCAAAATGGAAAAGAAAATAGCTTACATAGACAGATTCAAGTTTACTCAAAATCATCTTTTATGTATCCCCTACCATGGCCAAACATAATTTACAGCACAGCACCATTTCTCTTTGGCATAACTTGTAGGAGATATTTTTCCTCCAGAAAATTATATAGTACTGTGCTTTGACTTGAGTATTTTAAAGTTCTTGGAATTCACTTGCATGTTTATCATAAAAACTTTTTACTGTTTGTGTCAATAATGCCACCTAGACAAAGAAACAGATTATAAAAGATAGAAGCTGATTACCTGAGATTGACTTTGGTAGTGTAAACTCTTAGGACTAATATTTTTTGGAAGTAACAGACCACCTCTCGAAAACCCAGAAATATATTTAAGTTTATCACACTTACATATGTGCCGTTGCCATGGATACCTACAATTTCTAGTGCTTGGCAATTCAAAGCACAAGTGATACAGGTATGCTATCACTTCTACTTGAAATATTATTTTTCTACCTAGGAAGCAGTGGAACAGTAGTCAAAATATTTGTTGGTGTTCTTTTAGATTAAATCACTTGTATACAATGGAAAAGCATATTACATGTTGGACACTTTTTAGACTGAGTGTTGTGGTGTTCAGAGCTATATACACTGTAACAGGCAGTACCTTGTCAAGAAGATTTGCAAGCAGGAGTCATTCACATTTTACCAAGAAATAAAGAAACATGCTGCAGTATGACTTCTTAAACTAAATATATGAAACAAATTAAAGAAATACAGGTGAAGACAGCAAAACTTTCCATCTGAACCATGTTCTGTTGAGTGGAATTTTTTTTAATGGTGTATATTTATTTATTAATTTGATAGGACCTAGTGTAGGTTTAAAAAGACAAATTTTATTTGTTCAAAACCTGACTGGCTCTGAATTGTGTAGCATTAACAGAACTAATTGCTTATGTTGTTAGGAGTTGGCAGGACGATGGAATCTAAGCTGGCTTCTTTGGGAATTAAAACCTGTGGAGATCTGCAGTGTGCTTCAATGTCAAAACTGCAAAAAGAATTTGGTCCAAAAACAGGACAAATGCTCTACAGATTTTGTCGAGGTTTAGATGATCGACCTGTTCGTACAGAAAAAGAAAGAAAATCTGTTTCAGCAGAAATCAACTACGGAATAAGGTTTACACAGGTAAATTCAAACTTACTTTCTTTTCTGCAATGACTTCTTTCAGCTGTAGAAGAATCTTCTCATATTCTGATTATTTTCACTTACACTTTGATCTGTTAGAGCACCATCTTAGCCACCAAATAAAAATGAGGAAAATGAAGAAGTAGGAGACCAAACGATAAAATGGGAGGAGAGACTGCAAAAGTATTGGACTGAAAAGAAGCTTGCACAAAATTAGCTGGCTATTCTGCATTCGGTATACAAGTCTCATACAGAAAAAGAGAACTGCAGTAGGTTTGTCAGCACCTAGCATTCTCTTTCATTTAAATGCTGATTATTCAAAGATGCCAGTGCCCGAAACCATCACCAGCTGCTCCAGTGAAACATTTTTATTAGTCTTTTTCCAAATATTGTATGGGGGGAGTGTTGTTGGCAAAATTGTGTTAAAAAATAATTCAGCTTTCTGTTGAGAACTTAAGCATTTATAGAAATTGTAGAAAAATCAGTTTGGGAGAGAATTCATTATGTTGTGTAGTCCAGCCTTTTGCTCAAAGCAGAGGAAGCTTTGATCAGACCAGTTGCTCAGGACTTTATCCAGTCTGGTGTTGAAAATCTCCAAGAAGAAAGACTGCACAGCTTCTCTGAGCAACATATTCCCCTGCTTGACTTTCCTCATAGTGAAAAAGATTTTCCTTATAAGCCTGTCTTCTAGGTGTGTGCTTAAAGTTAGACTTGTAATTCTGTGTTGGTGTTTCTAAATACATTTTTTTAAAAACATTTCCAAAAGGACTTAGTATTTCCTCCTTCAGCATTAGAATAGGAATCTACCATCTCACCTGACTTCAGGGACCTACAATGTAAAACAAACCACTTGAAATTAAGTAAGACCATCACCTGTGAGTCAGCTTGCTCTTTGCAGTTTACACAGTCTGGATTGCATTCACTCTTAATGATTTATCTTCAATATTTGAAAACTAGTAATTATCTAAACATGTTGTTTTTCTCTTTCAGCCTAAGGAAGCAGAAGCTTTCCTTCTGAGCCTCTCAGAAGAAATCCAACGCAGACTTGAAGCTGCTGGTATGAAGGGTAAACGATTGACCCTTAAAATTATGGTCAGAAAGGCTGGGGCGCCAGTGGAGCCTGCGAAATACGGAGGTCATGGAATCTGTGATAATATCGCCAGGTAACTATGCATGGAAAAAAGAATGGTCAGTAGTAAGTGTGAGCACACTTCTGCAGGACGACAAGCACCACAACAGACAGGAAGACATAAATTTTAAAGGGCTTGATACCTCTTTGTCTATTTTTCAAACCTGCACTGAAATCAGAAGTAGAATATTATTATCAAAATTAATCTGTGTTTAGGATGTACATATATGGTCTTTTGGTCATCGACATGGAGTGTAAATCCCCCAATGACAAAAAAAAGGCACATTGGAAAGATAGAATAGGAAGAGACTAAGGTGTCTGAATCAGAGAGAGAACAGTTTTAACAGTCATCTTTTGCCTTTTTGTTTCTTCAAAGAGAAAAATGGGGGAAATTGAAAAGTGTTGGAGCATAGAAGAAATAATTTGTGGTTTTCAGAGGAAGCAAGAATGGAAAAGAAGAATCTGACTCCACAAGTGCATTCTTTTTGGTTTGAAATTGCTGTCTTAAGAGAATGTACTCTTGCCTCTCTCTGGATGCTACTTAAAGTCTTTTAGTGAAATATTTTCAATGAATTATTGTGACTATCATTTCTCTTGGTAGGGAGGTACATTTTTTTCTCTTCTTCCTTTTTGACTAATAATCTGTAGTTTAAGGTTGCTCTTATTTTGGTAATAGTCTCATGAAATACTAGCTAATATAGGCATTTGATATTTTAAAGGTTTTGTCTTCAAACAGTATACATATGCACATGTATATTGTTGGTATACATTTTTTCCAGCTTGCTCAATATTGAAGATTTTTCCTTTTGCAGTACTTGTAGAAGACATTTACATCCTGCACTGTGACACACATGCAGCAGCATTTTTATTTCTTTCAGTGACCAGATGAGCTGAAATGTTCTTCTGCTGCAAACTGTTCCCTTTCCCTAAGCTGTGTAGTGTTGAGTACTTCGCTTTTTCTTGAAGGGGCTTTCTGCTGTTCTTTGATAGGTTGTTGGTCATATGCTGATTGTGACAGTTGGAGTCAGTTCTCTAAAGAAAATTGCCTTTGTACTTGACAAGGATGTCTGATCAGTACCATTCTCCTTCAAGTCTCGAGTGCATGGGGACTAGGCCAGTATTGACAGAATTACAGAAGACTGAGAGGCCATTTTGGATTCTGAAGATTGGAGCTGGCAAATCAGACACCTTGGACTGTAGTTGTCCATCTTAGTACAGACAAGTTTCTTTGCGTCAAATCTGTCTTTCCTGTTGTTTCACCAGTAAGTGTGCAAATAATATTTTTGGTCCTAGGCAAGAATAGACAATGAAGATCTGAAGTGGAGCTAAGACAGTTGAATCTCAAAATCTCAAGGTCAGAGACTGTGTCCCATGTTTCAGCTGTTCAAGAAGGCAACTTGTACATGTCTCTTGCCCCTTCGCAGTTACATTTTTTCATATAGTCATAAGTTCTTCATCAGAAGTGCCTTTGTTTTCTTGTGGATCATTATCAGCATAATAAAATCTCTTTCTACTTGATCTTAATGCAGCGCTGTTGATCTCACTGAGATGCTACCTGTGGTGGTTGCCCACCCCTGGAGAAATAGGATAACCCAGTTGCTCTGCCTGGGTAGTCAGTTGATAGGTGACTGTCAAAGGAGTAGGACCTTCAGCTTCCACAAGCTGTGCTGTTACTTACTCATTATTTATTTCTGATTCTTCTTTGTTTCTTATTGTTCAGCTGAATGATCTTGACTAAAGAGTTTTTTAATATCATATTTATTTATATGCTTGCATATTGAAAGTGCAAGAATGAAATCTAGGCATAGAGCATCATGTAGTTATGTGCTGTTTCATATAAGATTGTCTCAGAACCTTCTAAATACATGCTTATTCTTCAGCCAGACACTTCTGTATCAAAGTAGTTAGTCCTTAGGTAAAGGGATGATCTTGGCTTTTATGTGAAGGTGTGTTTGGCATCTTCAAAAACAGGTCTTTTCTACTTTTCCCTCCATCTCAGGTTGTTGTAACAGATGAATCCCTCCTGAACTGAAGGGTCATTTGCTCAGGGTTGCTGATAATGGAAAAGGTGGCACTGTTCTTTTCAGTGTGTTAGAGCTCAGCAGTAGGGTTTGCATGCATAGCATCTGTCTCATATTTGTGAGCTTGTGACATACAGTTCAGCTATATTAAAAAACAAAAATTCACCTTTCACTAACAGAAGCTTGTCACCTTTTGGGACTGGTAAATCAAGAAGAAAATCCATCAGTTTATACTTTTGTCTTCTGGCTGCCCTGAGTTCTTTAAGGTGAAGATTTAAGGTGAGGATTAAGGATGTGTTGAGATAGAGCTTTATTCCTTCTTTATTGGAACTAGTGCCAGACTGCTTTCTCATGAATGGGTCATTGCTTTGGACCTCATGTCTGTGGTCAGGTGTGCTAATGTACATGTGCCCTGAAATTTCCCTAATTCATAAAGTCCTCATTAAGGTAAGATCAGGGGGCATGCAGGGATGCTAAATTGTTCACACATAGCTGAAGCAGTTTGGATGCATGGATCTCGTTGGCAGTGTCTCTGTTTCTGCTTCTGGCTTTACTAATGAACTTGGCAACTTCAGTCAATCCAAATTATGCTATTTGGTGATATAGGTGCTGTATTTCTGTCTTTGTTAGAGCATTTCTGTTCAGTCCAATGTAAGGCTTTTTAGCAGCAGCAGGGTAAACTGGAAGCTGCATCCAGGCATATGGATTAGAATCTCAGGGTGGTGTTCCCTCAAGTGTGCTTTCCTTACAGACAGCCAGGTTCCAACAGTTTGGGATTATTTACTGCACCAGTGACCAGTTTCTCTCTTCAATTTAAGATTTATAGCTCATGACCCATTTCTTGCCCCTTTACCTCACAGGTGAATGAGTTGCTATGCTTTCTCATCCTACAGATCAAGATTCCCTAGAATGATATTCGTAGTCTTGCAAAGGATTCAGACTCACAGACACTCTTAAAATCAAATTCAACTTCTGAGATGTTAATGGTATTTTTACTGTGTTTACAATACCATGTCCTGGTAGTACAGGATAGACTTTTGTAAAATACTCTTCTGAAATGGTGTGTACCTTTAGATCCATCTTGCATTTCTCCCTAATATTTTGAATAGTTGCATCTTAATGGGGATATTGATCTCATTTTTCTTAAAAATGTTAACGTGTAAGGCTGAAAGAGGTGTTCTTATCATTCACAGCAGGAAGGTTTTTCTTTTTCATATTGGCAGAACAAGACCTTTCTGGAGATCACTTGGTTGTTCCTGGTGGTTTCTGACAGATTCAAAAATAGAGTAAAATTTAAGGAGACACTGTCAAAGTGTTTAGTAAGTTGTCAGGATTGCACCCTGTGAAAACACCAATATAAAACTTCCTTTTGTCCATAGAGCCCACTCCATCAGAGTTAAAACTGTATCGGTTACCTCAGTGAGAAGCCTTTACATCGTTAACGTACATTTCATTAGCCACCTGAAATTCTGTCCTTACCTGTCTCAAATGTTAGGCCATTAGAGAATCCAGAAGTGCCAAGCACTGCTACTGCCTTACTAAGCTCTTAGGTGGCAATTTCTGTAACTCATAACCAGGTAATTTTGTTAAAAGCTGTTACAGAAAATTGCCCACAGTGCAAGAAGTGTATTTGGAATGTTGTTTAAAGTTGCTTACCATTAATCTGAGTTCTTTGTTACTTTTAATCCACATGCCTATATCTGCTTCTCCCTCAGAGTTCACTCTGAAACTCTTGCTTTAAACGTTTGACAATTTACAACTGAAATAATACTGAGGAAACTGTTTGTGAACCAAACTTGAGTGCAGAATAGTGCATCAGTGTGTTTCTATGAGTACTGTAAAGTGAACCATTTTTGTCTGGCTTCAATATATGATAGATCATGTATATAAATACATACTGTATTTGACAAGTTAATGTGTGGACCACACACTGAGAATGTTCAATTAGCAAGTAGTCTGTTTTTTTTCTGTAGAACATGCTTAGTTCTAAATACCTTCAAAATAAAACCACAGAACAAAAAAACAGTGTTCAGTTTCTGTATGCCAAGAAATTATGATCTGTCTTTCTTTGAGGTCCTCTCTGGAATAAATACAGAATTGTTGTCTTTAGGATTTGTGAAAGTTTCCTTTTTAACCATACTTCTTTTATTCTTTGTAGAACTGTGACTCTAGACCATGCAACAGACAGTGCAAAAGTAATTGGGAAAGAAACTCTAAACATGTTTCACACAATGAAACTGAACATATCAGATATGCGAGGGGTGAGTTAATGGGAAAACTGAAATTTATTCTCTTTATCAACCTTCTTTGTTGTCTTTCATAAATTTTCAGTTCTCCAGGGTAGACGATAACCAAACTTAAGCAAAAGTGTAGATAATACAAAGCTTATGTAAATTAGGCTATGCAATCACACTATGTTTTGTATATTTACCTTTGTAAAACATAGTTACAAAGCCATAAAAAAAAAAAAAAAAAAAAGAAAATTTTATTGTGGTATGGATTAATCCATAAACTTAGCCTGAGGTAGCAAAGTTAGACTGTATCTTCTACAGTTCTATTAGCATGTGTAAATTTTACTTTGTCTTAGAATTTTCTGTCAACTTTTGCATAGTTATTAGTTAAGTAACTAATATAAATACTGCTAGTAATGCCAATCAGAGATACAGATTAGAGGAGTTTTTGCTCCAGACTACAAGCCTTGGAGCCAGAAAAGTTACCATGGTTTGCCCTTTGTTTGAAGATGAATTGCTGGATCTTTTGAATCAAGGTTTATTTTAGAACACACTTGCTCATCTCACTGGTTTTGTTATAGCAATGTGAACCCATGATAAGACTGTTTTGGCATCAGCCATTTGTTACAATGGAGCACAGAGGCTTTCTAAAACAAACCTGCATTTATTGGTCATCTAGATGTACAAGTAAGGGGTTGATTCACATTGTGGCCTTGCAGTCAGCTCCATGACCTGGGTTTCTTCTTAGAATTGAGGAAGCATTTGTCATTCTCTCCCTGTCTTTTTCTAGTTTCTTGTGTGTCTTTGGTGTCTTTCCCGACTTCTTACATTAATCTATTTCACTTGATTTCTTCAGCCCTTGTTTTAGAGGATTATTTTTTAAAGTTGGTATCCCATGAGTGTTGCACATGTTATTTTGCAAAACAGTGTACTACTTCCAACCAGGTGGCTCTGTTCAGTTCTGGCAGGGCCTTTCAGTTCTAGATTATATATTAAAGTGCAGATACATCCAGGTTCCCTCGGTGGTATTCCTTTCAGCTGACTTCAGACACCTCCAATGTCAATGGCTTTACTGGAGCTAGTCCCTTTAAGCTTCATGAGCTGAGTCATGCTCTATGATGATGTTTTAATATCCCATTAATTACAACTAAGAAACTGTTAAACAAAATCCTTGCTATGTAATTATAGAAGAAGACCTGGTGGAAATACATACACTAGTTTCTTCATGCTTTCTGAGTCCTAAATACAAAATTTTAAGTGGGTTTTTTCCTAATAATTATGAGTAATTAGCAGTAAACTTGGATAATGTACCAGTGCATTCTTAGTTGGACACAGTTTTCTGAACCCCTGTTGATTTGGTATTTAAAAGTTAATGAAAAGTGAGGGTGTCTTTCAAAATGAGGAACACCTTATCTGAGAAAGACTACTTTCACCAAAGTAGTTTCGTCCATTGAGACTTTGCAAGAACTATGTCTAGAAGTGAAACAACATTATTTTTCTCATTTGTAGACTGAAGTGATGGATTTACTATAAATTGTCCTCAGCCTCAGAAAAAACGTACCTTTCTTGTATGGGTAGCCAGATTTAATACTAATCACTTCCTGGTCAGTACTTCTATATTTGTTAGTGTCTAAAGAAATTTCATAATGAATGCATTGTTTCATGATCCTTTTGACAGCACTTTTCTATATCAGAGAAGATGGTGTTATCTCTGTAATTTCTTAGTTGTTGGAATGTGGTGGATAATCCTGGGATTTGTTTGGAATGGTTTTAATAGCTATTTGTGTGTATTTCAACATACTTTTCTTCGTTCTCTCCCTCACCCACAACAGGTAGCCAATTTCAGAGAAGGCAATGCCATTATGAACAAATTACAGATTAAATTTTTTTTCATTTTTTTTTTAAACTTCATAAAATGAATGTATAAATGTTTTGGATTTAGGTTGGAATTCAGGTACAGCAGTTAGTTCCCATCAGTAAAACCACTTCGACTCACTCAACAGTACAATCTGGACACTTACCTGGCGGATCACATTCAGTTATTGACCTTTTTCATGTTCAGAAAGCAAAAAAGTGCTCAGAAGAGGAACATAAGGAAGGTCAGTAAGCTTTGTACTTTGCATGTGTGATAATGATCAGTTCTGAAGGACTCCAACATAGATTACCTTTTGGAATACTTACTCAATATTATACCAGTAGAAATTATTTAACATAAACTTGTAGAGAGCAGGTTTTGCGGCTGCAAATGAAAATGCTACGAATGAAACTCTGTATAAGGTTATTTCAATCTTTCTTAAAAGTTAACAAAGGATACTTTGAAATAGAAAGTGTTATAATTATGCTTTATAGAGTCTAAACGGTTTAGCAAAGAAAAGTGGAAATTAGCTTCACTATCTTGACTCTTCAGAGTATTTTTAACTATTAGATGATCATTCTGTCTTTTTATTTCATGTCTAGTGTTTGTGGCTGCTATGGACCTTGAAATATCTTCTGATTCAAGAACTTGCACTTTTCTTCCATCTCGCGGTACCCATGTCACATCTGGTCTCAATTCTAATGTTAACAACACTGAGTCTGCTGTCAAATGGAATGGCGTGCATTCTCCTATCAGCGTAAAATCCAGGCTTAATTTGAGTATTGAGGTTCCATCTGCTTCCCAGGTAAAACTTCAGAATGTAAAACATCTGCAATATATTGTAATAACTTGGGATTGTTTGTCTTATTTGGATAGCGCAAAAAAAGTTACATTACACTTTTTTAAAATAAAAAGAGCTCTAGTGGAGTACAGTGCGCAGTAAGAAACTTACTGATGCAAAACTATTTTGCCTTAATAAAAGGATTTTTTAAAAGCAGTTATTTTTAGGCTAACTCAAAAAAGATTATATTTATTCAAAGGAAAGAAATTTAATTTTCCAGTATCTTTTTCCCTTCCCATCACTTGCCAAAGGATTACAATAGAATAGGAATGGAAAAGATGCCGAGGTTGAAATATTAAAAAACATTACCTTCCACAATCAAAGCCCAGCGCCTAATTGAAAAAACATGCAATAAACTTTAGTAAAGCTTCCATAAGAGAAATCAGACACACTCTATAGTTAATGCTCAGTGTTTACATGATTATGATATGATGCAGATTTGTAAATTCCCTTTTCTTATGTTATCTCTTCAAAATTATTTCTGATTAGCTTAATCACTGACGAGTGGCTCAAGAAGAATTTTGACAAGTACTTTGTGTCATTTTCATGAAGACAGAACTTTTAAATGTTTTCTATCCCTCTTTATGGAAGCGGTATTCTTTGCCACAGATGCCAGTAAATGATAATCAGGTAGTCTTGTCCACATAATTTCTTAAAGTCATGTATTCTATACCAGTCTTCAGATTACACTATAAATCTGTCTTCAAGCTGTAGAAGGAACCGATCAGCAACTAGTCTTAGATGACCTTGTACGCTTTTACAATGGCTGTGCTCTTAAGTTTCTGATTAAAAGAATGTCAGAATTGTATTTGGATTTAATTATTTATCTTCTCGTGTTTTTTCAAATTTTCTTCAATTAATATTGAAGCTAAGATGCACATAGCATTTGTAGAGTATATCACCTTTTAGATGAGAGAAGAAAAATGTTTATTTAAGTAAAATCTTTCTATGGGGCTTGGGGTTTCTTTTGTGTGTTTTAAGAAAGAGCCTCCTTATTTCTACCCCACATGTTATTCAAGCAGACATCTGTTAGAAGGGTCTGCTGTGAGGGAGCTGCACTGAATTCTGTAGGTATTTTAGGTATAAGCAAATTTACATGCTTTTCTATAAAAATCCATATTTTTAATTGCTGTAATTTAAATCTGTAAAAGCATTTGTTGGTGTTCTGTTAACAGATTTCCCAAATACTTAATACATTTTTAGAAACGAGTTATGCTTTTGGCAGAAAATATTTTCTACCAATACCCAAGCTAGCTCAGGATCTAAAAGCAACCTGACTGAACAATGTGAAGCTCCACACACTCAGTTTCTGCTATAGTAGGAGTACGTATGAACAAGCAAAAAATGCACTAGCTGTGCAGTAGAGTTCTTAAAGATTTGGTGACCTTATGGCATATTTTTCTTTCTGCTTTACAACCATATCATAACATGGATACAATACAGAATTTGGTCCAGGAGAGGAGTGCTGCTGAGAATTAGTCCCATACTGCTGTTTGTGTACTGTGTGCTAGGAAAGCAACAGCAAGATATTTTGCATCTGGGATTTCCAGAAAATGTTTATTGGAGTGTATATGTAGCAAATATGAAATGAAGGAACACAAACAGAATGTAGAATAATAACTGAAGAGATTAATAATACAGATAGCTTTCATCAAAACCTCTCAGTTACCATAAGGCGAGTAGCTTTTCACAGATACTTGTAGTTCTTCTCTGTAAATCCAGAATCTGGTCATAAACTCCAAATTTTCTTCTTAAAGGTAAAAGATAAAGTTTTCTAACACTGCTATGGAGTGTCATTTAGCAGAATTTACAGGCAAGCATTGGCATTTATCTACATTGTTTTACTCAAATTTGTGAGAAAAAAGATGCTGTACATCTGCTTGTCAGTTATATTCATTCTGTCACTTGTGCAGCCATCATTGTATACAGCAACTTCTAGGCACTGAGGGGTCATTTCAGTTTCAAGTTGATAATTGATGGTAAGTAGCAATTATGGGAAGCAAAAATTTGAATCTAAAGCTTATTTCATTATCAAAATCTATCAGGAGTCTGACAGTGTGCAAACATACATAATACCATTAAAGTAAATCAGTAACATATCCTAGAGCTATATAAAGAAAGAAATTGATTGCTTACTGCTTTCTAACCAGACACCAATTTAGTATTCATATCAACATGTTACCTGTATAGTTTGAACTCAGAATTTGAGTTTCCTTATCTCTAGGTAGTTGTAGAGGAAACCTTATATGTGATTTGTGATGAGAACACTGAACATTGCGAAAAGATAAAACTGAGCATTCATATTTACTGAACTACTTAGTCTTAAATGATATTTTTACATTTTGCTACTTCAGAGTATAACTGTCAGGTTCGTAAGTATGTTTGCTTACACATATGAAAATTATTTTTTTTCTAAATGTCAAGAACTGTAGAACTATTTTGACTAAAATCAACTCTGTTTTTTATTCCTTAGAAAAAATCTAAAAGCTTTCATATATTTGCAGCTAGATAAGTCTGTGCTAGAAGCTCTGCCGCCTGATCTCCGAGAACAAGTAGAGCAAATATACACCATTCAGCAAGGAGAGAGTTACGGTGATAGCAAAAAAGAGCCAATAAATGGATGTAACACTGCACTTCTGTCACAGCCAGTTGGAACAGTGCTTTTACAAATACCAGAGCTCCAAGAACCAAATACCAATATGGGAATTAATGTAATAGCTTTGCCAGCTTTTTCACAGGTAAGGTATTTGCAGTGTAACAATAAACATCAACTTTCCACCAATGGGAAGAGTTAACAGCTTTTTCTTGAGACGGCATTAACTAGAATCTCTGGCTTCCTGAAATTATTTATGGTCCTTTAATATCTGTTATAGAATGTGGTCCTTTTAATATCTTTTAAAAGTCTACTTTCAAATGTTACTTGATCTATCACATAGTATGATAGTATTTATTAAAGATCTGTAGTCACCGGTATGCCTATGTTGTTTAATGTGAAATCTCCTCATTTACACTTTGCTTTGCAATCCAGTGTGTAAATAGCCTTTTTTTCTGCATTGCAGCTGAGTTGCACTGCACCATAAGTCTGAAGCAGTCCTAAAATCTGCTTAGCTGGTCACAGGAGACCCACTCTGTTTAAGTGGATGTTTTGATGGTGTAAAGCCAACCTCTGCTAGCTTCTGTAGATGTGATTGCTCATATCATATTCCTGAGAGAAAGGCAGGGATGGATAAAAATCATGCCTATCTCCATAATTTTTAAATGAGCTCATATACAGCATGTCCAGGATGAGGAAAGTGCAAAGTAATTTCTCAAAATAGGGGCCTGAAGGGGAAGCAGGCAGCAGTAATGATGCTTCTAATGATATTCCACCCTTCAAGCCAAGATGGTGTTGAACAAATGTAGGGTAAAAGAAAATAAAAGAATAGAAGATCGGGTTACCCAGAGATAGAATATCTTGCATATGTATCATTTAAAATAGAGCAGTATTTTTATTTTTCTATTTGCTGTGCCATTGCTCCATTGCTGTTCTCAAATGAAGTGATATCACCTAATCAGATTCATGGATATTTGTGGCTGTTTCTAAGGCACAGTGCTGCCTAGCTGACAAAGTATCTAGAGAAAATTAGATAGAAATTCCTGACTTGTTTACAGTAAATAGTAGATAATGAATAATTGTTACTTAGAAGATGTGTGATCTATTCTACTACAAAAATTTCTTCACCTTGATTCAAGTTCAGTGATTCAAAAATGGTTGTGTCAGTTTTTATTCCTGAACTGCAAATTTGCGTTTCCCCTACGGAGGTGCTCTGTGATTAGTGTGTGAACTCTCCATACCCCAGCTGTTTCAAATTATGTAGTTCCCTTCATTCACAGGCAAGAGTTTATCTTGGACTTGCGTGTTAAATTACGCTTTCCTTTAAAGTCCACCCCTCCACTCCTGTTTTACCACTCAGTACTCTTTTCCAGGGTAAATTTTAACCGCATATGGCTTTCTATAAAAATTACATTTAGTTTGTGTTTTATGCTTTATCTATCTATTAGGTAGTAGATAACTGATTGGTTTTTTTATAACAGCATTACTTCTTAAAATTGTCATACAAATACGTAATTTACACAATCAAATGCACTGGTTTTCCTCTCTCTATTTCCTAATGCATTTCTTGACTCTGTTACTTGATGCAAAAGTGTCAGCTTAGCCAGGCAGCCTTTTTGTTCAAAGGTGTAGTTTAAGAAGAATTGGCTACTTCCTATTTATTTGTCAGGGATATCCATATGATCTATTTTAGAATGCCTTATGTTTGTACTACATGTTTTCTCCTGAAAACCGTTCAGTTTGCTTTATTGGCAAAAGAGGACTAAGATACACAGTTTTCATTTTCTGAGTTAGGTCCAAGTTTAATATATAGAATAATACAGTTGAACAGCTTCCTTAGGCTTGGCGAAAGAAAAAGCTAAAACCAGCTCATTAATACAGGAGGATTTTTTCCTGTGTTAAAATCAAGCATGAACTTAATTCAAAAATATCATCTTTGTCTAAATGTAGTTTAACACAAGGGTTTTTTTATTGTTAAAGTCTTTGTGGGAGTGCATATTGTATGAGCGCACACAGACATTTAAGATCACTTTCTTTCAAATGATGCCATGAATAAGTACTAATAGGTTTCAGGTATAGAAATATCGTGAGCCAATCCAAATTGAGTACTTTAGCTACATCAACTCAGCAAATGTAAATGATACCCTGCCATCTTTTTACAGCTTCATTAGGTTTGTTTTTCAACCCTTCATTCCTTTTGTCTGAACTGTTTTTATGACCAGGTGTCAAGTTAATTGGCTGATAGTGATTTATTCATTAGAAAACCTAGAAAATGTCCTTTGTTTGGGTAAGGTTCTCCCATAAAAAAGAATTCAGATAGGTTGCATTCCTTTTCATCAGCTGCTGAAGTAATCTTAAAATTTAAAAGAGCTGTATATCTCTAGCAGCTGAATCCTGCAAAAGCGTAGGATGCAAGAAGTAAAGGTTCCAGATGCTTAGAAATGAATGACATTTGTAGTAGCAGAGTAAATTACTGGTGACAGATTTGCACCTCATCCTTGCATTGTCTTAACATGGTATAGATTCCTTCTAAGGAAATTTATACAGCACATCAAAAGTACTGATAGCTGTATGCTTAAGTATACATGAATTTATAAAATTAAGAGTCTTCATAATGTGAACGTGATACAGCTATGTGAAAGCTATGTATGTTAGGATACTCTGGCTGTGCACTAGATTATCTGAAACTCCCAATTAATAAGTGTAGAATTCATATGAACTCGACTGGTGGCTCTTCTAACCGAATCTTTACATGTTATACTTTCAGAGGGCAATGATAGGGAGAATAACAAAAACATGTCCAGTTCCCTGTACTATATTATTTTTGCATGAATTATTAAGTGGTGTACACAAAACCCGGTGTTAATTCAGGGCCTCCCAGTTTCCTGACTCAAATGCTTGACCAGACAACACTAACCTTTTTAAAATAGTTTTATTAAATAAAATTTATGTTTTAAAAAAACCCTCTGGACTTAATTGGCTACATTCCACTACAAAGCTTTGTTCTGCACAATGTATGCAGTATTGAGGTTAGAGTGTTGCCATTTCCTCCTTTGATTAGTGCATATTTTGTGTGGTGAAAAATTTGTGTTGGCACATGGAGTTCTAAAAATGGAAAAAATGTGCTAGATTGATGAGTTTTTACGTGTGGGAGCATGTTCATGTTTATTATCTATAGAACTTAGACATCATACGTGTGAATAGCACAGCCTACCTTCCTTATACAGCATACATATTTTGGTTTAAAAAAAAGATCAAATCTCCATTGAAAATAGGAGGTAACTTTTCATATATATGCATATTGACATATAATAAATACTGTATCTCAGATAACGGTAGAAACTGTATCATGCCAACTGTATTTTAATAATTTTTGTTTGATTGTGCACATCTCCAGATTTTACCACTGAAATAAGGGACATTGTCCCACTGGGCAGATTTAATCCTCTAAATGATAGGTTGGCTTTTTTGAATTAGAATTTGCAGATTATGAGCTGAAAACACTGTCCAATAATACTGGGAAACTCAGAATACCAGAGTAGTCTGTCACTAATTTGCTACTTCACACACACAGTGGGGGAAGATAACTGATAATGCACGAAATTTTATTTTGTCTGTATGTGTATGGCAATTGACAACACAATTCCTGTCTAGAATTCAAGTCCCTAGGACAGTTGGAAGGGACTGTGTTTTTCTCAGTCGAACCAAGGGGTGGACAACTGTGGGAGAAAGAAGCGAAACCCTTTTGCACTAGTTCAAAATATGCGGTAGCTGGACTTGTGTGTCCTGTCCTTAAAGAATACGCCACACATATTTTGTTTGAGGAGCATAACAGCTTCCAGGAAATAGAAGTATCAAAAGAAAAGGAGGAACAAAAGTCTGATTGTCACAGTGTTTGAGTTTGGAAATTTGAAGAGAGTGTTCTCCGAGTTAGGCTTAATTGTGCTGTTAATGTGGCTGTACTGTATATCAGTATGTGAATAAAGTAGGTGGAATAAAGATGGTTAGTGTATTATAGCCCATAAATAGTAATTTTATAAAACGGTAAATGTAGAGTAATATTAAATGGAAAATTTTATGGTCTTTACAAGCTAAAGTACATGAAGAAAATATACAACATATTTTACAGTGTTTCAGTTATATCATGTATTTTTGCTTGGCATAAAATGTAAATACTTTTCTCATGTGAGTGATCAGGAGGAAAGCAAGCAGTGTTTCTCACTGGTAAAATAATGAAATGAATCTTTTGTTACTGTTCAGGTGGACCCTGAGGTTTTTGCTGCAGGGGGGGGGGGGGAGGGGGCTTTTTGCTGCTGGTTTTGTTGATAACCACTGGTGGGAAGTCTTGGCGGGTATCTAGGTGGGACAGTGTGCTGACTGAGGCAAAGCAATTTGTCCAGTAGGCTTCAGATTTCACCAGCCGTTCATATTCAAGTACTGAAATGCTTGATATTAAAAGGCTTATGAATAGTTGAGTATCCTCTGAGTACACTCATGTCTAGCAGTGCTTTTCAAATACTTAAAACATTGCCCATATCTAGAATGGCATGTGAATGTTAAAGCTGCTTTATCTAGGTTATGTTCTCCCAATTGATCCATAGATTTTTATGGAAGATACAGAGTCCCCCTTTCAGCAGAAGATTATTAAATTTTAAATGTATCAACCAGTGTCTATTCTTGTGCTTTTCAGTGTCAAAAAATCCCTTCCTACACCTGAAGCATGCAACAATGAAAAATAAGAAAAAAATAAGGAAAAAAAATCCAGTCAGTCCTGTAAAAAAGATTCAGAGTCCTTTGAAAAACAAACTCATTGGTAGCCCTGCAAAAAACATGCCATCTACATCTGGAAGCCCACAGAAGTTAATAGATGGTTTCTTGAAACAAGAAGGAACAGCTGCTCAGGTAACTTTTAACGGCTTTCAGTAAAGCTATGTCTGTTTTTTTAGACATAGTCTATGTTCACAAATGCAGCTTGGATTCTTTGCTCGATTCTTTACTAGACGCTTATTTATGTATATGTATGGTGTTACCATATTTGTCAGACTGAGTATTATCAACTTTTATGTTTGGAACAGACGGAGGCAGTTCCATCAACTTCGGATTCTTCAGGCCCACCAGCTCTGCAGCCCGAACAACAACCTGGTTCTTTCAGGCCACAAGCACCCAACCTAGCTGGAGCTGTTGAATTCAATGATGTAAAGACATTGTTGAAAGAATGGATTACAACTATTTCAGGTACGGGATGTCATGCTTGCGGTGATCCTGCATGCATCACAAGGAGAACTATTTTTTTCAGTAGGCTTTTTGTATTTTCACTCTTCCTTTCACTGGTTATTTTTCACAGTGATCTTGAAGTCTTACAGCCTTGCAATCTTGGACTAACTTGATTCTTCCTACTCCATTGTTTCTCTGTGGTTTTGCTAGCTCCTGTTTCTTGCTTAACATCAGGAACATTTGCCTGCTCTCCCTTCAGCCCTTTTGTCAGGCCCTTGTCTTGTGCCATGATGTTACTTATGTGGGAGAATCTCCTTATTTTGTCCAACATTTTACAACCACTAGGATGAAGGCTATTGAAAGGGAATTCCTCTTTTATGAAGATGTCATTTTAGAGGATTTAAAAATAACTGCTGGAAAGGATTCTAGAATAAAGTGCAACACCATTGCTAAATTGTGATTTGAATTTTTAACATTATGTGAAACAATTAGCAATACCTTAATATCTTGGGAAATCTGACCTGCGAGATCCTTTGTACCCTGGTCATTACTATTCTCCTAAGGGTTTCAAAACAGCCGTTCCATTCTAAATCACTATTTCTTTTCCCTTTGGTTAATATTAGCTTGGCTGAAGTTCTTACTGAAGAAGAGGTCTATGAGATATATTTCAAGACCTTGCAGTCCTTTTATGTACACAACTTCTGATGCTGGGGGAAGGTGTGGGGATACAGCAGTTGTCAGACTGGCCACGATGTGCTAACACTGCAGAATTTCTTTCTGCTATATTACAATTATTCTGTGCTTATAGTCTAACTATAGTTAAAGTTCTCTTTTTTTTTTTCATTACAGATCCTATGGAAGAAGACATTCTACAGGTTGTGAAGTATTGTACTGATCTAATAGAAGAAAAAGATTTGGAAAAGCTGGATCTGGTTGTTAAGTACATGAAAAGGTAGCTTAATTGCTTAATTTGTAACATTTAAACTATTTTTGTTAGAATTTCTGCACTAGATGCTTCAGTGTGAGGCCATAAGCCCATTAGACATTCCATTGATGAGTATAAATGTTTTAAACTCAAATGTTATTCAAAAACTGGGGGGAGGTGACACAAGTTGGGCTGTTAAAAGAGGTAACTTGTGAAAAATTATAGTAGCACTTCTAGACAAAGGATAGAGCTTTTGTCAGCATTGTCCATCCTAATTTCATTCATTTTTCGTGTCACCTAGATCTTTCGATTCATCTGATTTCATTCTCCTGCTGTTTCTAGATCCTGTCTCACCCCCACCCCCAATCTATTAAATCCTTCTTTATTATGTGGCTATTGTGCTCCTATTACTCTTTCCATGAGTCAGGACACCCAAGTTCTGTTGATGACTTGCTTACTAACTAATACTTAACTATGGAGCTCTGCTTTCTGTGTCTTAGTTCTAGAAAATATCTATTTCACAGAATTAATGAACACCCAAAAGACTACAGCAATGTAAAAACATCACTATGCCTTTGTGTAATGGGATGTCTTTAGGCCTCAGAAAATGCAAAATCCACAGTGCAGCTTACTTTTCTGTTGCATGCTGTGTAGTAAATTCTGTAGAAAACTCTTCAGAAAGCATCATGTCCCGTCCTGGTCCCTGTGTGTGAGATTTGCACCGATGGCAGCGTGTCTCTCCAAAGCCTGGTATCAAGCGTAGGACAAGGAATCAGGAGTTGGATGACACACAGTTGTCCATATGATATTGATGTTGGGTCTTCCAAAGCTGTAGGTGTAGGAACCCTCTGCTCTCCTGTAATAGTGATCTAGAAGGGGATTTTGAGAGTACAGAGCTGCTTTGTTTTTCTTGGGCATTTCTTTAATTTGTTTCTCATAGCAGCAGAACACTAGCGGTAGCTCGTAGCTCTCTGTGGGCCTCCATGATTTGGTTCCATTTTTAGCAATAAACACAGTATAGTGCCCCCAAAACCAATTATTTTAATGTCTTTATTACCTCCGGCATTCTTTGGAAGAAAAAAGTAGCCTGTGTGTTTTGGGGTGAGGAAGGAAAGATCAGGATCCAGAAGCTTGCCAGTTCTGCTTCTTCAGTATGAAGGTGGTAGGAGGTCACCACTTTAATCACAGGCTTACAACCCCTGCAATCTGCCAACATTTCCAAGCTGGTGTGACACCGTCCACCATCAGAAATTTCACCACTGAATGGCAGAGGCATCTGAGGCATTAGGTGAGACTTAGTATATTTGAAGAGAGAGCGCTTTACCAAGATCAACTCAAAATACCAGTCCTAGTGAACTGTTGTGATCTTGTTTTCCAGTATGAGACCAAAACTTACTGTAAAAAGGACCAGTTCTGTAATGGTAATTTTGTCCCTCTTCTTCGTTTTCCCCTTCAGGTTAATGCAGTCATCTGTGGAATCAGTTTGGAATATGGCATTTGACTTCATTCTTGACAATGTTCAGGTAGTTTTACAACAAACTTACGGAAGCACATTAAAAGTTATCTGAACGTGTAGTAAAGAGCTTGATGAGAGCCTGGAGCTCTCTGCTAGCTGTGCCATAAGTGCTTGTGAGGTATTTGCAAAGTGCATGATAGTAATGCCCTGAGTTTTTATAATTTCAAATTTCTTTTTAAACAACAAAGTGTTTTGTACATTTCTTTTCAGAAAGTGCCAAATTTGTCAGTATTGCATGTAAATAATTGTGTTAAAATTCTTTTATTGTAGTATAGAATCTATTTACAAAATGTTTGTTTATAAAGTTTTATGGATTTTTACAGTGAAGTGTTTACAGTTGTTTAATAAAGAACTGTATGTATATTTTTGTACTGATTCTATTTTGTGATGCTTCAGTTTGAATATTATAGCTAACCCCTTTTATTAAAGCTGCACCTTTGATTCATTTCACAAAGTTTTAGCCAGTGATCCAGCCTTAACACACACAGGAGAGGGCTGTACATCCACCTGGCTGCTTCTTGTTCCTTTCCACTGACTTGATTACAGATTTTAGGCTGAGGAAGGAACATTAGCTCATTTTCAGTTTCATTCTTCAAAGACAGAAGCCAGCGTGGCCCAGCCCCTCCCAAAGTAGGCACAGCGTTAGCTGAAGCCTAAGTTTGCCCTGAGCTGTGTTTAGTCAGGGGTACTGTCGCCTCTGGAGAGGGAGGAAAACAAAGGGATATCTTGAAACAGTTACCCCAAAGCAGAGCTGTAAAGGAGCGAGGGAGGAGCTAACGTAGAGCACTGTTTAAGCCTGTGTCAGGCCTCTGCATTTCTCCTACTCAGGATAGAGCTACATTCCACTCTTAAAAATACTGTGGTTCTCCTCAGCTAGGACATGTATTTCTGTTACGCAACATAAGAGAGTAGGTTGTAGGGAGTAAGTGAAATAAATAGCTCTGTCTCTTTGTGCCCGTGGTAGGGAGGGGCATACTTACATCTCCAAGGTTTGTGCTTTGAGCAAGTCTGCTTTTTCCAGCTGTACACCAGCCCCCTACAGTCATATTTGGCCCGAGGCATTGAAGCAAGGCTGTTCAGGTGTCTGGAAAGAATGAAGACCAGTTGGAAGAAAACCCAGGTGGTAAATTTTCTGAAGGAAATCAGAAGTACCCCACATCACCCTGGGTAGGCGTGGGCCCACCTACGGAAGTGAAATGTGGAACACAAACTGGAGCTAGGCCCAAAGCAGGATTTGCACCACCAGTTTAACCGGAAGTATCTCCACTGTCACAGGGAGGAGCAGCTGCACTCAAGATTAACAATGCAGCTGGAGCACTCTGCGCTCATGCCCCAGCCAGTGCAGGTTAGAGCCGTGACAGCACTTTGTAGCTTCAGGCTGTGCCCTGGCTTCCCTGGTACCGCCCACAGCAAGAGGTACCAACCTGGCAGCCTCCTGCTGTCTCCTAAAGGAGGGAAGGGCAGTAGGTGTTGCTTCCTTTGACTTTAGTAGAGCTTTTCAGATTATCCCCTCTAACATCCTCATAAACAAGCTGATGAAGTAGAGGCTAGAGAGGGACATGAGTTGAGAACTACTTGGGCAGGCAGTCCCAAGCAGTACCCACAGAGTCAGCACCAGTTCCAGTCCCCTTCAACACCCTCACTAAGAGCTAGAGGACAGGGCAGAGCGCTCCTTCGGCAGGCTCTGCTGCTGACGCCAGTGGCCAATAGGGGCAGAGGGCTGGAGCCCTCTGGAGGCCAAGGGCAGCCAGCAGCCTCCAGGGCTGTGTGAGGGAGGAGCTGGCTTGTTCCCCTCTGCTCAGCACTGGCGAGACACACCTGGAGGGCTGGCTCCCGTGCTGGGCTCCCCCGAACAGGGACATGCAGAGCAAGACAACAGGGCCCCAGAGTTGCTTGAGGGAGTGGAGCTTCTCTCATAATACAAGGAGAAGCCAAGAGAGCTGGGACTGCTCAGCCTGGAGAAGAGGGGCTGGGGGAGCTCACCCATGTGTGGAAACACCCCATGGGGAAATTAAGGAATACAGAGGAGTGTCTGTTGCTGTGGTAGCAAGGAAAAAGGGCACAAAACAATCAGCACTGATTGGTACAAAATGTTCCTTTTCCAACCCCCTGGAACAGGTTGTCCACAGGAGTTGTGGAGATGCTCCAAACCCAACCAGACACAGCCCTGGGGAACCTGCTCTGCCCACACCCACCCCAAGCACAGGGCAGGGCTTGGACTTGGGGGCTGCAGGGGTCCCTTCTGACCTCACCCAGCCTGGGGTAGTGATTTCTCCAGCTCAGGTTAGCCTGTATCTCTAACTGCATCCAGCTGTCTACATAGTGTCTACAGAGAGAGGGAGCTTACTTGAATTGATTAGGGTTTACTAGGTTCTAGCTGGGGGACTTCAGAGCTCCTTTAATTGCTGCCTTTCCTTTTTTTTCCCCCATTTAAGAAAACAGGCATGATAACTCCCCATGCAGAGAAGTGTATTTGCTGAAATTCAGGCAAGAATTTTACCAATTATGTCTCATGGACACAGCTCTGGTTTTGGGAGTGCTATTCAAGATGTACTTGAAACTAGCATCTTCTTAAAGAAAAAGGACTCAAAGTACTACTTAATTGAGTAAGGTTATTGGTAACTATTTTCACTATCCCTTAGTGATCCCCACTTCAAGCCCTTAAATATTATATTCAACAGTTACCTGCTTCCTCAAAGCCTTTTAGTGAAAGTATTTCCCAAGTTCCTCAACCTGCAGTTTTTACCTGTGGGAAGAACACCCTTCCTCAGACGAGGAAACAAATCAAGAATACATCAAGACCACAATGTTTGATATCTGAGTTCTTAAGAACTTCTTTTATTAGTGTAGTTTTCACGATTGCATAGTTTGCAAAAGAAAATGATAACAATTGAATGCAGTCTCCTCACTGTGATCACCCCAGTGATGTGAATTTGCACCACGCCAACCATACTGAAAAGATCTTTTTCAATGGCAAGTTTAACAGACCCAAGAAATTCCATTAAGTTAAATTCCATTGCCAAAGGAGGCAAGTTATTAAACGTTCCTTTGTAATGGAGTCCACACAATCCCAATTATAAAATTCAGATTTTTTCCAACAAAAAGTAATCTGACAGAAGAAATCTGATCAAACTGCTTATTGCAAATTAAGTTCTTGTAAATATTTTAAACACTAAAAATTTCAGCTACATGAAAGACCATTAGCGACTGTGTTTCAGCTTGTGCTTTTGAAAAGCATTTAGCTCCTCTCGACATGAGCTGTGGGTTACCAGGAGACTACCTGATTAGGGATGCAGCAAGCTGTTGTCCTAAGGAGGGAACCACAGGGGAAGGCAGGTAGGAACAGGCCGGGATTACAGACTGACTCCTGCTCATCACAGCCATCGTCAGCCCAATGCCTCTTGAGCTGGTTCAGTCCCACGGTGTCAGAGGGCACAACAGCTTTGATGGAGGATCGAAAGTCACAGCTCGCCTGCGGACAACTGTTTGGAAGGTGCTTACCCCAACTCCGAGCAGCAGCTGGACAAGAGATGCCACCTCTCAGGTCCTCCCAGCAGAGCCTTTCGGGGGACCGTGGCTTGCTAACTGCCCCGCCTGCAACTCCGGTGCTTCGGGAACGTGGTGAGAGACACAAGCCACCGAGACCAGCACCGTGCACTCCGCAAGGGGACATTAAGCCAGAGGCAGAAAGGCCTTTACTGGAACGCGCCTCCGTTCCTTTGCCAAGCAAAGAGCGGCCAGCCTCCTCCTGACATTTCCACCTCTGTCACAGCCCATGAAGTGAAGCTGGGCATTGAAGCAAACTGTAAAACAAATGGGCTACTATGTCCATCTCCTTTATTTGTGGCTCTGCGTTATAATGATTACAGGTCAACTTTCATGAACTGTACAAGCAGTAAAAGGCAGCCAACTATGCTTTACATCATTGTTTCACACAAAGCAAATACAGAAATACCCAACTGCCTAACTGTCTATTTAAAAAAATGTCTATAGGCACAAAGCAGAAGAATGTTGGAAAAGAGAGCCAAGGGAAGAGGTATGCATAAATAAAGAAGTACTTCTTACATCAAAAATGTCCCAAGAATCACAAAGTCTGCAGAAGCTTGGTTAATCAAATACTGCAGTACTGATCTCATCAGTATAAAAGTGAAAGAGCTTTAGTTCTGTAATAAAAATTCAATTTCTTTTATTTTGTTTTGGAGAGGGACAGGAAACAGGGTGGAAGGAAGGTGTAAGAGAAGGGAGGGCAAACTTTAAAACAGCAGCCAGTATTAGGAAGGGCAGTAGGAGAGGTGAACAGGCACATTGGAACCATGGGAACATGTAAATTGACCACTGTCAAACCAGTGTAAATTTCTTGGTTTCTCATGGAAAACATTTTACCCACATATTTTCCTCCCAAACATATATCCAACACTGTCTTCAATATATGACTTTGTTGGTAACTTCTAGGACAGGAATAGCGCATTTATTCCTGCCTTCTCGGTGCTGTAAAAATGTTATCTAGATGATTTCAAACACTTTCTTCAGCTCTACTATAAGCTGCCAGTCAGACTTCTGCATTTCATCCCTGAACCAGTCCTTCAGAGCGTCGATGGACTGACGGCTGATCTGCAACGCACAAGACAAACCCATCAGAAACACACACCTGCATATTAACAAAGGCAGCTTTTGGTGCATCAAAAGCAATTAATCTGAGGAAAGGGCATCAGTCTGCACAGCAGGAAACATTGTCCTCCGCCCAGTTTTGCTGCTGATCTGCTGTATGAGCCCTCCCATCCGTTCCCTTCTCTCATCATGCCTCATGCGTGGTCTCCAGAGACGGCAGAAGCACTGACCATCTCCCATCTGTGCACAAGCAGGAACCTGTGAGCAGCGCGCCTGCCACACTCCCCCCAGGCCCACGCACCAGGGTGGAAAAGTCCCTGTGAGTACACACCCCCTGTTTGTGGGTATGTGCCCCAGCATGTGTGGGGCAGAGGGTGTCTTACAGTAACTAAAGCAGTTCGGAGCCTGCAGAACTGTGGCTTTGCTTTGACAGCAGAAATCTGAGCATGGGATCATCTCGTCTAAGCCCAGTGTTCCAGAATCAGAGCGACTAAAGTATTGCTATTTGTCACACGATTTCAGAACCAGGCAAACACAATCATGCCGTAATGCCACGGGGGCCTGCTAAGCCACTTGGAGCACTAGCTACGTACAACAGCATGTGAAGAGCTAATTTAGTGTTTTACCCCCTCAGGTGCAGTTAAGCTGCAAGGTATTTTTAGCTGCAGTACATCATCGCCTCAGTCCTCTTGAGGGGCAGCACTACTGTGAACCTCAACACAAGGCTCCAGAGAAACTTGGCTGCATGATGCCAC